TCTATGCGTCTTTAAGACAAAGTAGAAAAAAGTTGATTCTTTCTTATTACCGGCACTTTTTCTTCAGACAGATGTATTCTTCGTTTTTAAGGTTTTTGCGTGTGAGATTGGAATTATAATGAAAACAGTTTAGTTTTTTTTGTTTTCTTTCTCAGACAGAGCTTGTGCGTCTCCTTAAGTCTCAACATAAATTTATAAACGCACCCAAAAATGGAAAACTGTTAATTAAAAGGACTTTTACAAGGTAAAATGTTGATTTTAAAAGTTAAAACCCAACATATAATCACTTTTAATTCTTAAACGAGAGCATGGAAATTATATAGTTGAAAAATGTTTGTGAGAGGATTTGAGAGTACAAATTAATGATGGAAAAAGGGTGGAAAAAGAGAAGAGGACGTAAAGTTTGGTCACACCAAGAGAAATGTGTGGTTTGATCTTATCCGTTAGTGTCTTAGACCAAAGTGGGACCTCTAAGCAGCTGTCACATGGGGTTTTGGTCTCAGCAAAACACCACGTGGTGTACGTTGCTCAGCATGCTACGTGGCGAGATCTCAGTGCTTTTGTCAACTTAAGATAGAGTGTCAATTGTTTTTTATACAAAATTTAGTGATATTTTATTTTTAAATTTTCTCATTATAATATATTCATTCGGTTACTTATTAAATTAAATTTTGGAAAAGAAAAAAAACATTATTGCAAAAAAAGAAAAAATACATTTTCTAAAATTTTTATTATGTTTATTAGTTATTGTTGATGAATTATAGATTTTAAAAAATAAATTAAATACTATCGATAAAAAATTATAGAAAATTGTCAATAAAAAATAATGTACTATAATCAATTTAATATTTTTGAAAAACTTCGAAATTAAATTAATTAAAAAGAGAGAGATTATGAACTTTAAATATATATATATATATATATATATATATATAAACTGAATTTATATATATTAGAAAATGATCTAAGCGTTTGTGTGGATTTAGTATTATATTATGTTTAATTGCCTTTAAAAGCTGCAATTTTAATACTAAAAGAAAAAGATACTAAGAGAGAAAAAAAGAAGTTAAACTCAAGATATTTCATCAAACACATAATTTAACTTCTATGTGGAAGTGTGATGAAAGATAATTGATCTTCAACAAGCTTTTTGTTGATGGTTATACTTATACAGGATAGCTTCGCAACCCAAGTCTTTCTTTTACATTTTATTAGTGCATTCTCTTTTGTCAAGTTGCGATGAACGATCTTTTAAATATGCAGGTGTTGCAGCCCACAAGCTATATTCCTAAATCACATCAGAACAATTCATTCATTCTAAGTAAATTTGAAAATTTTATATTAACCTCATTAACTCTTTCATTAGAAGTGACAACTTCTGAAGTAACATTATCTTTCGGTTCTCTATGAATCACTACCACATTATAACATCATTGATCCCTTACACTCTTCAAAGCATCTAAGTAATTATGGTTGCTCGAGATCAAAACAATATTTGTTGGTGCAATGTTATTGTCAACCATTTAAAAAGAGCCGCAATGATCTTTCTATCCGATAAATCATACAATCTTTGTTTAGCTTTTATACTATAATTTAACTTGGCTAAAAGAACCACATAATTTGCTTCTTACTTTTCAAAAAAAATTATGTCACCATATTCCGTAAAAAAACATATCTTTTCGTTCACATCATAATTTACTGAAAATATCTAATGTGATGATTTTTGTACAGAAAATCGTCATGTCTATACTTTATAAAACAAAAAATAAATTATTATATATATATATATCTAAAACGTAATCATGATTATGATATTGATTTATAATTGAAGAAAACTTTAATATTATATTATGTATAAAGATGTGATTTTATCGCTATGGTCAAAAAACTTTACTACTATTATGGTTACCAACTTACCACTTATCTTATATGTATATTACTATGCTCTACCAATATTTTTGTTTTTAACTGTTCCATTATTTTTTTTCCCGACAAAATTCTACTACCGTTTTGTGTCATGAATCGGACTTTTAAAAGTTTCAAAACCGTTCTGTGATGTTCTCAAACGGGAATGGATGGTAGATCCATGAGTACAAATTCTAAAACTAGAGACGAAATGCTTTACTTGATGTCTTAGAAGATTGTACTCTTAGCAAATTTTATGAGATAAAGAAAGTGGGTAATAGACTCATCAACAATATAACACTTAAAAGAGTGATTTATATGATCCAACATGGTTGTTGCATATACATTACATAAACACAACTTGACACCATCATATATTCACTTAAAACGATTCTTCCAAATCTCCCCTTCTTCATACTTAACTCATAGCTTCGAAACAGGCAATCCTGAAAAAAAAACCAAAGAATATATATATGAGAGTAAATTTAATAGAGAATGGGAACAAATTTGTATAAGTGGATTAGGCATGCTTTGTTTGTTTGTCTAAGTGTAGTACCTAAAGCTTTTGAGTTGACGATGCTTGGACTGGCATTGGGCGGTGAAGCGTTTTCGTTCAAGAATGGATCGACTCGGTTCGGGTCATGCCAAATCGGGTAGCCTTTGACTCTTCCCTGTTAAAACATTTTAAGAAGAAGATGATTAGAGTTTAGTCATTTGAACCATACAAAAAAGAGGATTTTGGAATGGGAATGAATGCATACAAGGACGTTGAGAGCTGCAAGTGTAGCCATTCCTTCACGAGTCCACTGTCATCATCAGAAGAAGTTAAGGTCAGTTCTATTAATTATCTGTTTAGACACAAAGAAACGTTTCTTCAGTTTGTAACCTTGGAAGCAGAAGCAATGTGAGGAACAACAATAGCGTTTTTCATATCAGCAAGCCCTGGTTTCATGAATGGCTCTTCCTGAAACAATGTGATTTAACAACACTTGTTAAGCCCTCAAAGATAACCTTTTATGTTTTGGGTTGATCATAGCGTATATGACAGTACCTCAAACACATCGAGACCAACTCGGAACATCGGGTTCTCTTTGAGATGTTCGACCAGAGCTGCCTCATCAATCACAGGACCTCTGCTGCAGTTCACAAGGATTGCTTCCTGAAACAAATAAATATAACCAAGAACAAGATCAATAACAATAAGAGGGAATCAAATGAAATAGCGAAAGCGAAATCACCTTTTTCATCATGGCAAGCCTCTCTTTGTTGACAAGATGGTAAGTGGTTTTGTCCAGCACCGGGTGAAGACTTATCTGTATCAGATTACAGCCAGTTCATAAGAGATACTCTACAAATATTTAACAAAAAGAATAGTTTGTGTCTGCGTGAATTCCATATACCAGATCAGCCTCACGCAGCACCTCCTCCATGGACGAAGCTCGTTTCCATGTCACAGGTTGTTCCCCATTTGCTTTCAAGAATTGTCCATAAGCTGCCAATGACCATTATCTCGAGTATATAAAACTTCAACATAAAGATGAAGAAAAGAGTATTGTATAGAAACTGTATGTATTTACCTGTCACAAACTTCTCAAGACGAGTGGATTGGTAAAGATCAAAGTAGATCAAATTCATCTTGAACCCTTCCACCTGTTTTCGAAACAAAGAGGTAAAAAACCGAAGCTTTTGTTTAGATAATGTGGATTGGAATATACAAATGCCATTGCAAGAAGCTTACCATCATTCTAGCATAAGCAGATCCAATACGTCCAGCTCCAATAACTCCAACAGTTTGTCCTTTAAGTAAGTTCCCCACAAACCTACCAAAACCAAACAACGCGATTACAATAGTTTCTCAAGTTCTTGAAATCAAGAAGAATAGAGATCAGAATGTTTTAGTCTAGTGATCTTACAGATGAGGAAGCCATCCCTCGTACAAGCCACCTCTCATGAATTTGTCGGCTTCAACAATTCTTCTTGCAGCAGCTAGGGAAAGAGATGCAGCTAGTTCGGCCGTCGTCTCAGTCAACACTCCCTATCCAACGCAAACAAACAACATTTTTATGTTTTGTTTCTTCAAAATTACCACCAAAATCATAAATACCACAAATTTAAGGTTTAGTAAAGATACTAATGATTTAGTAACCATTACTAAAACTTTTAAAAACCCTTCCTAAGCCTATCTTTGGAGCTAAAATTTGTTTTTGTTGTTATTACCGGTGTGTTACCGACGGCAATTCCATACTTACTGGCAGCTTCAACATCAACGTTGTTGTAACCAACGGCCATGTTACTGAAAGCTTTCCCTCCAGCTTTGCTCAGAGCTGAAAACAGAGTCTCTCCCCAATCTTCCGTCAACTATAACCAAACCAAAACATAACCAATATTTTACTTTACTTTCATACGCTAAAAATAGATATCTTTATGTTCTGTTTCATTCCATTACCTGACCAATGACTCCATCACACTTGTCTCCGATCAGATCAATGATATCTTCTACAGACAAGATCGTCTTCTTCAAATGACATATCTATTATTCAAAACAAAAACAGAAAACTAAGTGTGAATGAATCAAAAGTAGTAATAATCTTGATGCCTAGAAAGAAGAAAGAATTACCTCAACGCGACAACCTTGGTCTACCAAGAGATTGATCCAGCGAGTTCCCGGCATCGGTTTTGTGCTGACAACTCTGTATTTTCCATTAGGATTATACACTTCAATGGACACCGGTTTTGCCATGGCAGAGAAAAGAGAAATCTTCAAGTGTTTCTGTGGTGAGAATTTGGAAAAACAGAGGTCCTCTGCCTTTAAAAAAAGTTCAGTTTTTTAACTCAGTCACTAGGATTTATGTGGTTTGAAATCGAAAACAAGATCCAACGGTCGGTTTTGCATGATCATTATCTACGTTTTTTGTTTTTTTAATTTGATGTGGTTCATATGTTGATGATGAGTGACAAAGAACTGCTTCGTGTGTATTATCTGAGTCTGGACCTTACGTTTTGGGAACGAGATAATGCTGACGTGTCCATATCCAAAACTCAACTCTGCATCAAAAACTGAATTAAAATAGAAACATAGATTCAAGATTATTATGTACAAAACAAAATTATGTCAAAAGGCAAATCAATATTTCTTCATCTCATTAAAAACAATTATCTACATCCACAGTGAAAAGAGAACAAACAGTTAAAAAAGAAGAAGAGTTTCAGGTTGAGGAAAAGGAAGATGATCAAGGCTTCTGCTGCTTCTCTATATCATACAGTACACAAACGTCTGCAGCAGTTTTCATCTGAAAAATATGCCACAATCAATTATATAATTAGAACAAACGACAGCTTCTAATAGAGGGATTAGTGGCGGATTTGGTAATATGTTAGCTTTACCTGAATGACATTAACGGTCTGCTTCATCGACCAACCGAACAATGTCAAAGCCAGGAGAAAAGAGAGTGGTGAAATCTGTGTTAATGTGGTAACTACGACCTGCAACGGTAACAAAGCTTAGTAGTTAAGCAAAAGTAAGGACTCAAAGATAGACTAAATGAAAGAAATGAGAAGCTAACATTCAGGAGATTTTCGGATTGGTTCTTTGCAATGAGAAGAAGGATGATATACAGAACCTGCAAGTTTGAAAAGATTTGCGTTTAAGAAGACATAATCTCAAAGGATTAAGATGGAAATAAAGAGACAAATTCATTCACCTCGCAAGAAACACAGCAATAACACATAAATATCCGGTTTCCATAGTAGAGTCTAAAAAGCCAACTTGTGCTGTCTTTCACATCCTTATGGCTGCTCTTCCCTGCTAGAAACGTACTGCGAGTAGAATATGAAGTCCCTGGTTAGAAACTGGAGATTTGAATAGTATAGAGAAGCATCTACGGACTACGGTGTAACAAGAAAGAGTTAATTAGTTTACCTGTACATCTGCAGCCAGTGACTAGCAATATCTAAAGCCAGCAATGAGAGGAAGACCAAGCTAGGCCTATTTAAATATGAAAGAAAAAGTAAGAAAAATGCAATTAATAAGGTAGAAACTCCAGAGATGCTACGGAAAAAGATACAGAGAAGTATCCTCACCTGTAGATCTGAGAGAGAATCACGAGTAGACAAGCCGTGCTAACTCTATAACCCAAAATGACCACCAACAAAATGTCAAAATTCACTAAACATAAAAGTAGGTTGATCCTAGCATATATGTAGAAGAAGACTCACCTATCTGTGACCATGTCAAGAACAGCTCCAAATGTTGAAACTGAGGAAGAAAGGAAGAGAAGTGAGTCAAGTTCTAGCTTCCTACATATTATAGTAATGGCATGTGATGCATATCTTAGCTTATAGAATCACAATGAAAAAATGTCTATCACATTGAAACTAAACACTAGCAACATACTATCCTAATCTTGATCAGTAGTACGATCTTTTGACCAACCGTACGCAATAAAAATGTGAATTATAAAACAAGATAGAAGTTCTTGAACCTTGGTTGAATCTACGAGCGACCCAGCCATCCACAGCATCACAACAAAAGCTAGAGAGAGCCACATTTATCACAAAAGAAGACTATTAATGCCATTATCCAAAACATGAAAAAACCTTAATGGAAAAGCAAAGAAGAAAGTTGCAGGACCTGAAGAAATAAAGGACCGAGAAAAGTGTCTTGTTGGAGAAACACACAGCAAAAGCAACACAGTTCAAGAGAACTCTCATGTACCCTGAAAGCAATCAATAAATCATCATCACAACAACAATCTTTAATGCTAAGAAAAAAGCTAAAGAGAAATTAAAGAGACCCACCAACAATATTAGGTATATAAAGATACACAGACAACTTCTCAGGTCTAGGTCTCTCCTTTTTAGCCATCAGAGCTTTGAACTAAATCAATTTCTCAAGATCCACCTACACAAGCAAAGATTGAAAAAAAAGAAAACTTTTTTCTCATAACCCATCACCGGAAAATGTATAGAGACACGAACCCATCTCCGGAAAATCACAAATTCATCCGATTTCAGTAGAAAGAGCGAAAATTTACCAAATCGAAGAGGAGGGGAAACAAATCGTCACTTGGAAACAGGTTAGAGTTGTCGAGATCTAGAAGAGAGAGATGTAGAAGGAGTCAAAAGGAGCTTCAGAATCTTCAATTGGAAACCAAATCGAACCAGATTCGCCGCTATTCTCAAGTTTCCAACGACGGACGAAATATTCTCAATCTGGCAGCTCTTGAACATTCAAAAATAATATTGATTTCTGATTTAGAAATGTCAATTATTTATCTTAATTTATCAAACGAACCCTCAAAGCTTAAACATTCTCAATATTTTGCCGCAAAGTAATAAAACATCAATTCGCATTCCAATTCGAACCTTCTTTGCAAAGAGAAGTTTTATTAGGAAGATGAAGGGTCATTATTGTAGCATTATAACATTACAAATAAAGGACAAATTCATTATTGTAGCACATAACATTATTTACTACAATTTCAATCATATAAGGCGTCTGCATAATGTGAGACCATCTCCGATGGATATCTGAGCGATTTCGACTCGAGGATCTCGAGCCAAAATCTTGTTGAACTCTAAAAGTGCTTCTCTATAAGCTCTCATATGGCTTGGAACTTCGTTTTCCTTTTGAATTAGAGTACCAAACCATAAGGTGTTATCGAACGCAATGATTCCTCCAACCTTCACTAACTTAAGCAGCTTCTCAAGGAAGTAAACGTAATTCGTCTTGTCAGCATCCACAAATGCAAAATCATACTCTTGTTTCTCCTTGACCATTATCCAAAATGTATTGAATAGATTAGTCGATTTAATCAAAAATTATGGACCGAATAAACAAATGATGTCTTTTCAGATTTATTATTAAAAAGCTAGAATATGTTAAAAGTATGAAATACTTTTCAAACAATATTTCATGAGTAAAAAAAAATAGTAATTTAGTGGTCCTAAACCATTACCTTAAAAATGACCATTAGCTTAGTTTTTAATCGTGTGCGTTGTACTAATTATTAGTAAGTAATATACGTACCCCGTTCAATAATTGGTCTAAGCCTCTAACAGCATCAGATTGAATGAAATTGATCTTGTGATCAACACCTGCTTTCTTCATAAACTCTAGCCCCAAATTGTAACCTGCTTGGTCAATGTCTATCGCAGTAATCTGCATACAGAAAACAAAAACAAAATTAATCATAACAATTAGTAACCCTAGCATGAATAATTGTAATTTTTGTTTGTCTGATTAGCAAGAAGAATCATTACACGGCCATCTTCAGGCAAAGCAAGAGCTACGGTGAAAAGTGAGTAACCCGTGAACACACCGATCTCGATAGTGTTTTTCGCATTGATGATCTTTACAAGCATCGATAGAAATAGACTTTCATCAACCGGAACCCCCATCTCGCTTCTGCGTTTATAAAATCGTTATGAATCATATATCTTAATTTACTGATTACATAATCAAATGATTTAGGACTTACAAATTGCCATATCTTTGGATTGTAGCTTCTCGAAGTTCTTTAAGCAATGCGTGCTCTCTTGGATACGCTGTCGTTTCCATAATGTACTGTCATATATATGTAACACATCATGCAGTCGTATAAGCAAGCACATATATTTGTAAATCTATAGATCATTTTTAGATGATTATGGGACTAGTAAATCAAAACCTGTTTAAGAGCCTCGCTCTTGAGAATCCCTTTGTCAGGTAATCGACCATCCATCTCTCTCTTGCTCGTGAGGATCTCTTTTGAGTGTTAGCAAATGTGCGTACATGTTGGCTTTAAATAGTAGCAACTAACTGAGGAAATAAAAAACTTATGTCATATCATTTGGGTGGACATGTAATTTTGGCAGAAAAAATGGAATTGGAGGACGCTAGTGTGCATATGCATGTGTTTTTTGAGAAAAATTGAAACACACACTACATGCTACCTCAAAAAGCTCAAAAAAGTGTTTATACCATCTTTATATACAAGTTTTTAATAGTTTACAAACTATTTACACTAAATAAAACAAATTAATTATAATTTAGTGAACTAATAGTTTTGTTGAATCTATATATACATTTTTGGATGACTTTTAGCAAATAAATCCTGGAGTTGGAATGTATTTACGGATGAATGCCATTGGCATTAATTATTTAAATTTGAAAAATATTAATTAAAGATATTACCAACACGATTTCGAGAATCATAAATTCATATCTTCCTTAATTTTCTGAGTCATTAATGTGATAATCTTTAGGAAATATTTCTCTGTAAAAAAAAAAAATCCACATTAATGAAGGCATTAAAATCGACACTAACAATTAAATTATTTAGATATTCAATTATTTTAAGATTCTTATATCTTATTTGATATATTTTTTTAATATCTCATTCTTTAATTACTGCGTTTAGAATTTATTGGTTGTTACCTATTTTTTGGTGAAATTTATTGGTTGTTACTTAATAAGTAATTATGGTGCGTTTATTTTAGTTAATAACTAATTTAAAGGATTTGTTTTCTTTTATTATTAATAAACGAATAACATGTATAGAAATAAAAGATTTTTCTTGCGACTCCATAATAAAAATATTAAACTCTTATTTTCTACATTTCTTACACATAATATCCTCTTATTCAATAACAAAAAATATATATTGCATATTTTTAAAAATATTTATAATATTTAAATTATATAAAAAGTTTGTAATATTAATATTATTTCAACTCTATACAAATTTAATATATATGTATATATATCTTATGGGAACCATTTAAAAGAAATTTTTAAATTGACTTGAATTATATAGCTTTTAAATAAAAGTATTATTAAAAAGAAAAATAACTAAATGATGTTTAATTTCACGGGACGGGTAATATGATGGGACGGGTTTGGGTTGATATTTATAAAAGATAGTATACCACGGGTGAAATTCTAAAATTAACAATCAAAATAATCTATCAAACAAATTACATTTTGATTTTTTTAAGAAAATATAGCCCCGCGGTGTACCGCGGGTTAAAATCTAGTGTAAAACAAAATCAGTACCGTTGTTAGTTTTTTTTTGTTGAGAAAAATATCTTCTTCTTTTTAATAAGGCTAGCTCTAGGCCTATACTGTACATCCACTGAGGTCTTTGAGAAAATATATTTGTCAAGTTCTACCTACATCTTTGTTATAAAACTATATGGTTTAAGCCATCAGAGCTAAAAAAAGAGCTTAGAGATCTGCCCTTGTATATAAAGAACACCCTTAAGCTCACAAATCATCACTTCTTACGTATAAAACACCATAAAAGAGATCAAAGAGAAGATGGTGGATCGCACATGCAGGGCCGGCTCTACCCATGTGCGGAGAGTGCTCATGCAGAAGGTCCATCTAATCTTGTCTTTTTTTTTTTAAACTAAATTTATTAAAATTAGGGTCCAAAATTTTTTTTTTATAAAATTACATAGGAAATTAGGTCCAATTATTTTTTCCAGGGTCCTTAATTTTTTTGAGTCGGCCTGCGCACATGCCATATGACAAAGTAACATGTTCATAAAAGAGCAGAACCTTGCCGTGAGACAGAGCAACATCGACAAAATCACGACATAGAAAGAAGATGAAGAGTGATCATCAATCAAACACACCATTACAAAAGACGAAGTCATTATTATAGCATCTAATACTTTTATTCCAAACCCTCCAACTTTGATTTCTACTCTTCAGTAGTCTTTTGATCATACAAGACGTCTGCAGAGCGTGACACCATCTCCAATGGAAATCTGAGAGATCTCGACGCGAGGATCCAAAGCCAATTTCTTATTGAACTCTATAAGAGCTGCTCTATATTCCCTCATATGATCTGGAACTCCCTCTTCATCCTCAGCCACAAAACCAAACCACAAGGTGTTATCGAACGCAATGATTCCTCCAACCTTCACCAATTTTAGAAGCCTCTCATGGAAGTTGACATAGTTTGACTTGTCAGCATCCGCAAATGCAAAATCAAACTCACATTTCTGCGTTTTTTTTCCAATGTATGACCATTAGCTAAAAAAATCATTTAGTTAAGCTTTAGTAAATAATAATTAAGAACACATATTTTCACGTACGTCGTTCACCAATTGGTCTAAGGCCTTAAGACCATCGGAATGGATAAAATTAATCTTGTGATCAACACCAGCCTTCTTGATAAACTCTAGTCCAACTTCGTAAGCTTCTTTATCAATGTCTATCGCGGTAATCTACATCCAAAAGAGCATCCATTTTGATAACTATGTTTCTTTGTTAAAACAAATAATTTTGTAACCCCAACAAGATGATTATATATAGCAAGAAGCATTACGCGGCCATCTTCAGGCAAAGCAAGAGCTGTAGTGAGAAGTGAGTAGCCGGTGAAAACACCGAGCTCGAGAGTGTTTTTCGCATTCATGATCTTTACAAGCATTGATAGAAAATGACCCTCATCAACTGGAACCTCCATCTCGCTTCTGTTTTTTTTTTTTTTTTTTACCAAAAAAAGAAATTATGTAAAAATACACCAACTATATAGCTATTTATAGAAAAATACAAACAATTTCACTTCTCGAACTCTATGAAGATAGCATTACTTAGTTTAAATAACTGGTAATTGTCTTACTAGATTTTTGCACAAAAAAAACAAAAGTCGTGTAGATTAAGACTTACAAATTTCCGTATTTTTGGACAGTAGCTTGTCGAAGTTCCTTGAGCAATTCATGCTCTCTTGGGTACGCTGACGTTTCCATGATGTACTGACGAACACGACCCAAACAAAACAAAGAATTATAAATCAGAGAGCCTTTTTTCGACTAGACAAAACCAAATTTTGTAGATCAACACAAAACTTATAATTCCAACATTAATTTTTTACCTGTTTTAGAGCTTCGCTCTTGAGGATCCCTTTGGAAGGTATTTCATTGGCCATGTCTTTGAGTCTCGTGGTTGTGTTCTGTGGAGTCTTAGAGATGTCTTTGTTATACACGACATATGTATAAACTTGGTCACTATATATTGGCTTCTAGTCAAACTAATTGAGCTATACTAATAAGACCCAAATTAAGGACTAGTGGTTCCAATTGATCTTATCCACGACTTTTCAACCATGGGACTATGAAATTCCATTATCTAGATAGTACTTGATGCGAATATATTCACTTTTAAGACAAATTTCAAATTTTATGTCTTTTAAGGACTTTTTTAAGGTTACACACAAGTGTTGAAAGATGCTGTGGAGTGATGCAAGTGCGTGAGCATAAAATTCGGTATGTGAGATTTAAATGCAAAAAGTATGTAGTATAGTATTATTTAAAGAATATATCAAATTAAAGGTTTAAAAATACGGATTTGAATTTAGATGCTAACAAAACGAATACCAGTATAAATATATGCAAAGCTGATTCAACATTTTGCAATTCCAATCCTTTAATACGCTTCACGGATGATACAATTTTCAACAGGTTCTAATATTTTCCAAGTATTGATGAAGAAATAACTTCGAAAATTCCAAGACATTTTGAGTTTGGTGAATCATTAAAGTGCAAAAGTTCACACCTAATGAAGAGGGATGTCGATAGAAATCATCTTCTTGAATTACGTGGAGTCTTTTCCAAATTTCGTTAAATCATTCCTGAATTTTCTAGAATCCTTTAAAGAATCATTTCCTGAATTTCAAGGAATTCTATCTGAATTTGGTTGGAATCCTTCATGAACTTTGTGAAATTCGTTGGCGGGAAAATTTTGACGGGAATTTGTTTGGCGGAAAAATGTTAGCAAAAAAAATTTGGCGAGAAATTTTCACTTTTTATTTATTCATTTTATTAAATTAATAATTTACATTTAATGTTTAATTAAAGTTTATAGTAATATGTTTGAAGTTTTTACACATTTTTTAATTATTATCTTTTATACATTTTGCCATTTGTATAAATTGTTTACTTTGTTACACATTTTTTTATTTATTTTCAATTGCATATCAGGTGACACCATATATCAAGGTGCAAAAATATTACAACCGTCCAAAATATTACATATTTGAAGGTTTAGTTTTTGTGCCTTTCAGCGAGGCTTACATTGATGATCAAAGCCGGACCAACATATGTATGACCCACAAGCACCAATTTTTTTTTGGCCTATAAAATTAACGAACTAAAAAGAAATAGAAAATATTTTATAGAGCAATAATGAGACTCGAACCCTACATCTATTTTACTCAGTAAACTGAATGTAACCAACTAAGCTAAATGATCTTTTGTTGAAAACGAAGGTCGAAACTTTAGTTATAATTTATAGGAGCGCAAGCAGATGCTTCAAGTGCGTGTCCTTAGGGCCGACACTGTTGACGATATTGGTGATGAACTCTCTGCATGGCTCTCTTATGTACAACTAAAACCGAGACAAATGAATTAGAGGCTGGAGAGCTGGTCATGCTTTCTAGGATATGTTATTTTTTACCTTAAAGTGCTCTAAATGGTTTTCTCTTTTGATATTATGCATTGTTAATCTAAAAGTAATTTATGTTTCTTGATGTAGGTATTTAGACATGACACCAACCGTTATTATGAACACTTGGAACATCTTCAGGTAACTCTTCTATGTTGTACTTGTTTTTGAGCCTTTAACCAAACCTTTTTTAGTGTTTTGAGAAAAAAATTATATTTGCTCGAAACATGTATACAAGGTGAATGGAGTGAAAGTGAACAACTTGAAGCATTTTGTTGAGCTCATAGAGCAATGTTGCATGGAGTATCTGACTTTGGATTTATAAGGTGGAGAAGTTGCTGAACTCCATTATTCTTCTGCCAAAAAAAGCAATCTCTGAGATCATGGATTTTTATTAGATTTTCTACTCCAAATCGAAGAACTTCAGTGACTAGTTTTGTCAACTTGGAATGTGTTGTCAACTTCAATTGATTAGGCATTGTTTTTTTTAACTTCTTCTTATTAGTGTGACACCCTTCTCTCATACTAAGACACTATTTCATACTCTTCTTTCTATCTTCAAACACATTCACATTCACCTTATTCAAAAATCATTCTTATTAAATCCATAAAAATAACTTATCTTAAACAACATATTTAGTACAAATATGATACTATTTTTGGATAAAACCATATTTTAATTTTATTTTTGTCAATCTTCATAAACTATATTAGTGTACCCAAAACCAACCAGAACATGGAACCCCAAAATAACGAAATAGATTTAAAATAATAATTTCTAAGATTTCACATATCCTTAAACACTAATTCATAAGTCGAAAATACACAATATTCATTTGATTTGATGTTTCTATCAAATTAAAATTTTTATATTGCGCTGCTGGTTATACAAACTTTTCTATTTCCATAAAAAAACTGTAAAATATGTTTTTTTTTTCTACGTCGTAAATTGTGGTTTTCTAATATCTGATTGGGCCACAAAGACTTAAAAATATCTAAAAGTAAAACCGTGACTTCTTCTTCCTCTCTTCCTTGAAATTTCCTTTGATGTGAACGACGATCCCTTGCCCAACGCACAAGTTTCATCGCCTTCCCACATAAACCCAAATCCCAAATTCTCTTCCTTTTTCCTTTTCCTTGCGACAAATCGATTCAATCCCAGATTTCAAAATTCAAAATTTCATCAAAAGATTGGAGATTTCTCTGAGATTATGGTGAAATCGACGGACGGTGGTGGTGGGTCTTCTTCTTCTTCAGTGGCACCGTTCTTGAGAAAATGTTACGAGATGGTTGATGATTCTTCAACTGATTCTATAATCTCATGGAGTACAAGTGCAGATAACAGCTTTGTTATCTTGGACACGAACGTCTTCTCTGTTCAACTTTTGCCTAAATACTTTAAACACAGCAATTTCTCTAGCTTTATTCGTCAGCTCAATATCTACGTTAGTCTCTCTTCTCCTCTCTCTTTTCAATTGTGTACAATTGGGTCTTTGCAATTGTGTTTGTTGTTTGTCTTGTTTCTTACACATTCTGATTTTGTAGTTTGGTGTGACAACATATGACTGGTGTAATTACTTGCGGTTGTGTTAAGCAAAGTTTCAATTTTTATAGGTTTTAAAGAAAATTGATTATGACTCTGGATATGAAGAAGCATGAAGAGAGTTTTTTTTGTTCAACTTGGAACAGTGTTTAGAGATAGTACTAGTCATTATCGTGAAGACTCTATGTAGTATAATTTGGTTTGGTCATGGGTAAATTTAGCTCATTCGATCTTTGAGTAGACGTGTGCCTGATTCTTGGATGTGTGGGGTTTTTGTTTTCAGGGGTTTAGAAAAGTTGATGCAGATCGTTGGGAGTTTGCGAATGACGGGTTTGTTAAAGGTCAAAAGGATTTATTAAAGAATGTTATCCGGAGGAAGAATGTTCAAAGTAGTGAGCAGAGCAAACAGGAGAATAGAAGTACAAGTACATGTGCTCAGGAAAAGACTGAGAAGAGTGGATTGTGGAAAGAAGTTGATATTTTGAAAGGCGATAAGCAGGTATTGGCGCAAGAGTTGATCAAAGTTAGGCAGTATCAGGAGACGACGGATACTAAGATGTTACACTTAGAAGATAGAGTTCAAGGAATGGAAGAGAGTCAGCAGGAGATGCTTTCGTTTTTGGTAATGGTTATGAAGAATCCAAGTCTTTTAGTTCAGTTACTTCAGCCAAAGGAGAAAAACAGTTGGCGAAAGGCGGAAGGAGCAACGATTGTGGAAGAAGTGACTGATGAAGGAGAATCAAACTCATATGGTCTTCCTTTAGTAAAATACCAGCCACCATCGGACAACGGAACAGCAAAGTCAAACACGAACGACGTAAATGATTTCTTGAGAAACGCCGATATGTTGAAGTTCTGCCTAGATGAAAATCATGTACCATTAATCATACCTGATCTATACGACGATGGAGCATGGGAAAAGCTTTTGTTGTTGAGCCCTTCAAGGAAGAAGACGAAGAAGCAAGAGAACATTGTGAAGAAAGGAAAGGATGATTCGACATTGGAGGAGGAGGAGGATGGAACTATGGAATTAGACAAGAGCCATATGCTCAAGCTGATATCAGAAGAGATGGAGAAACCAGATGACTTTGAATTTGGACAGCTTACTCCAGAGAGGTCTAGGAATCTTGAGATTCTGACTGAGCAGATGGAATTACTGGCTTCAAATGATTAAGCAGCAGTAACCGAAACACCGGATTGATTTTTTGAACATATCAGTCTCAAACTTTTGTTATGTAAACTCTATATAATGAACGACGAAGTAGGCACCGGAATATTATTTTCACCGGTGCAATTCTCAAAGATGTTATAGCGTCTTACTACAAAAACATGGTTGGAACTTTTTGACAATAGTTAGAGGAAGAAAATAACCATGAGAGCAAACTACTAGTCTGTAGTTAACTTAACTTCTTAGGATTCCTATATCCTTTCGATTTTGTGGGTTTTAAATAAAACCAAACCATAATCGATTGCATTATATAACCTGTTTCCGATTCCATGCAACCTAGTAGGGTTTCAAAGTTCAGATTTTTAATAGATGTAGTGGACGAAACGCACTGAATTTTTAGCAGATTAGACCATTCTATTTTTAGGGCGGACAACATTCCACTGCTAACTAAGTTTATTTCTATGTAAAAACGGTCTATAGTTAGTTTGCGGCTGATTTCTACTATTTATCTCGATCCACGTTACTATAGAGTATAGACTATGATTTATAAATGATAAGTAAAAAGCGATTCAATCCGGGAACTACATAATCACCAAATTTTAAAATCCAATTTGATTTTTTCTGTCATTGTTTATTGGCCTATCCTAATGATTTTCTCGCATAAACATATATAAGAGGCTTTTCTAGACACATGGCAGCATGTAATTGGGTTGCTTTGTCAGACTCTTTAATCGCGTTACGACGCATGTCACACATCTAAACGGCGTTTTCCAAAACAGCGTTTAGCGTCTCGACAAACAACAATCAAAATCTCCTTCCTCTCTGGTTTCCGATTTCGTGAATCCAATTTTTGTTTGTATGTATTCGCTTCGTCTCTCCATTGTTCTTCCTCATACGTATACGTAACCCAAATGGCGATTAGATCCTCGGGAAGAAAACTATCGTTTGAGATTCTCAGCCGAAGCAGCTCCTTTGAGAATGATGATACATCAATTCGCCGATCCAGCTCAGATCCAATCACCGGAAACGACGCTTCTGAATCACTTAGAGACTACGGGAAACGAAAGAGATCGAAAAAGAAGAAGAAGAACAACAACAAAGTCGAGACTATTCTAGAGAATGGTGATTCTCATTCAACGATCGTCACCGGTGACTTTGGAGAGACTAAAACGATGTTTGAGAACAGATTGAATTACTATGGCGGTGGTGGTGGTGGTAGTAGTGGTGGTTGTGTGGTGACGTTATTAGATGGGCAAACTGTTCATCATAATGGGTTCAATTTTGGTGAGTTAAGGCAGAGGAATGTTAATGGGAGTGTTGATGGGAGTAATGATGAGCGATGGTCTGATACTATGAGTTCTGATAAGAAGTTATATATGGAGGAGACTAGTGTGGAGCTAAGCTCTTCTGAGAATCCACCGTTTCAAGAAGTGCAGCATCAGTTTCCAAGAAGTGAGGTTAATGGGAATGTGGTGAGGAGATTAGATACAGAAGCTTCTTTGGATTGGAAGCAGCTTGTGGCTGATGACCCAGATTGTAAGTTTCAAACTTTTCTACTTTGGACTGGTTTTTGTGGTGGTGAGAGCTTTGATAATGAATGTTGAGCTGGTTTGCATTGTTGTTTATATTCGTTTTTCATTAGTTCTTTCTGCTGAGACGAGGTCACCTATGAAATACTTTATGGAGGAAATTTATGGTGGGATCTCATTACGGAGCACAACGACTCCTGGGAATGATGTCGAACGTGAAAGGATATACGATACGATCTTCCGTTTGCCGTGGCGATGTGAAGTGGTAAAAATGGCTTTCCTCTTCTTTGACAGAAAGTGGATATTTTAAAGTTAGCTAGGTGTGTTATTTGTGTATCTCTGCTGATAAGTTTGTACGGGTGGTGATGGAAAGTTCAATGTATATGTATGTATGCTTCTGTTTTGTGATTTACACAGAGGTTTTTCACATTGTAAAGACTTTTAATGCAGCTTATAGATACTGGCTTTTTTGTCTGCGTCAACTCATTTCTGTCATTGTTGACAGTCATGCCAATAAGAGTCCTGCTGATATTTATGGATGCGTTTAAGAACAGGTGAGTTATTTTTAGATTCGTCGTTGATAATAACACACTGAATATTGCTATAAACTAGATTTCATCACCAAATTGTGCATCTTTGAAGCAAGTGTTACATGTCTTGATCATATTATTCTCTATACACATGATTCTGCTATTCCCATTTTGAGAAAGTAACTTAATAATATTTGTGGCAGGCAGTTCAGGAGGCCCTCCTCAACGGAGTTGTCTGATCTTGCTTGTTTTCTAGTTTTGGCTACTGGTACCATTCTTCTGGGGAGAACAGGTGTGGTAAAAAAGCTCTTTATTTTCTTAAGCTTGTAATATATGTTATGTTTAATCTATCAAAACATCTGCAGTGGTTAATTATTATATGGACAAGCTCAGCACTTCTGTTGAAAACTGGATTTGTCTTTTCAGCTCATCAAAGTGATGAGAAAATGGATTCTCAAACAGTTCCCTTATGTGTTTTTGTTTTGTTTCCACAGATATCAGCCTAATTTACCACATGATTCGTGGTCAAAGTACCATAAAACTCTATGTGGTTTATAATATCTTAGAGGTAATGTAATCACCCTTTTTAGATAATTTCTTTCTGCTCTGAATTTTCATGTTCATTTCACTTTTGTATCTCTTACATGTTTTGGTTGGTTTGTATTTGTCCTTTCGCTGCACACTTTCTGTCCTGTTTACCTTATTCTCTATTCAACTGGTATTAACACATATATATTATATTTCAGATATTTGATAGACTATGTCAAAGTTTTTGTGGAGATGTATTCGGGGCCCTATTTAGTTCTGCAAAGGGACTGGCGATTTCCCCTCCTGAGAAACTGAGATTTTCGACTTGGAGATTTGTTTCTGACCTAGCATTAACTATGGCTGCATCAAATATCCTTACAACTTGATTGCTAGTTTGATTTCTGCTAACTACTTCCACATCTTTATTCTGTTGTGTCCTTAACTGTCTCCACTTCTCCATTCCTTCATTTTATTAGCTCAGGCAATTACGTTGTCAACTTGTATTGTTGCTCACAACAATGCCTTGTTGGCACTTCTGGTGTCAAATAACTTTGCTGAGATCAAGAGCAGTGTCTTTAAGCGTTTCAGCAAGGACAACATTCATGGTCTAGTATATGCGGGTAAGCTTTTAATCTGTGCCCTTTGTAGAATCGTGTGCCTTGAATACTAGGCCTCCTATGGCTCTGATCATTAGCTTAGTACTTAAAACATTTTCAATCACCTTTCAAAATGTGATCTGACTGAGACTGTAATTCTAGCTGTTAGCTGTGGTTTTTGATTGGTATGTTCTGTTTCCCTTACTATTTCTCTACCAGATTCAATAGAGAGATTTCACATATCGGCCTTCTTGGTGTCTGTTTTGGCTCAAAATATCCTCGAGTCTGAAGGTGCATGGTTTGGGAACTTTATCTACGTAAGTGTGCATAATTCTCTGGTAGTTATAAATTTTGTACAAGCCTCTTTCCAGGTTGCTCATAAGTAATTTTACTTGGACTTGGCAGAATGCAACTACGGTCTTCTTCTGTGAGATGATGATAGACATCATCAAGCATTCATTTCTTGCCAAGTTCAATGACATCAAACCTATAGCGTACTCTGAGTTTCTTCAAGCCCTCTGCGAGCAGGTATGGACCATAAATGCCATTTCTGCGTCAGGTATTGTATATCTTACATTCATTTATCTGGTAATCTTCTTTGTCAGACTTTGAACATTCGCCCGGAAGATAGAAAGACAAATCTCACCTTTGTTCCCCTTGCACCCGCTTGTGTGGTATATTCCTCTTCCCTTTTGACCTAATAAACTCACTGTGACAAGTAAAAAAGAGAAGCTTGGAATGATTTGAGTGTATTTGGGCCTCAGGTGATCCGAGTACTGACTCCAGTATACGCAGCACACTTGCCGTACAGTCCACTCCCATGGAGAATGTTGTGGATGGTCATCTTATTCGTCATAACATATATAATGCTTACAAGCCTCAAAGTTCTCATAGGCATGGGACTTAGGAAACATGCAACTTGGTACATTAATAGATGCCGAAGAAGAAACTCCTCCCATCTCCACAATGATTAGGCTTGGAATGAAGATCATCTTTGTGATCTTATAATACGTGTTTAATATTCGATGAAGCAATTTTGTTGTGGTTAGGCATACATACATATGTACAAAGAAAGAGAGACCTCATGGATCATTTGGCAAAAGCCATCACAAGACAAAAAAAATAGCCATTACTCTTTTGTTCTCTTCCTTCTTTTTTTTTTTTTCACATGACCGTTGACTCTTGACTTTATGATGATGACAAATCTTAGGCCTAGCCATTCGGTTACCCGTATCCAATCGGATTTTTTTTTCCGGATTTCGGTTCTATTCGCGTAGAAGGGTTGAGACCCATTCGGGTATTCTAAAATTTAGGTTCGGGTTTGTTCGGATATTTTAATAAAAATACAAATACCCGAGAATAACCAAAAATACCCTAAATATTTTTGGGTTCGGGTTTTTTACTCATATATAATCAAATCTAACTGAAATACACAATCACTCAAAAATACATTGGTTACTATTTACCAAATATAACAAAATATATCTAAAAATACTAAAATTACCCAAAAGAAAACTACAACATTGGTTACTTTTTATCCAAATATATCCAAATATATCTGAATTACTCAAAAATATCTAATATTTTCAGATTTATTATTGTAATTTTATGTATTCGGGGTATTATAAAGATAAATATAACTAATATTTTTAGGTGTATATTTGTATTCGGATACCTACGGGTATTGGATTCGGTTCGGGTTTTTTTCAGGTAGGAACGTCTAGGACCCATTCGAATATTTTTAAAAATCAATTTCGGTACGATTCAGATATTTTTTCAGGTTTTTCGGTTCAAATATTCGGTTCCGGGTATTTTGTGAATCTTTTGATTTGAGGTTGCAATGTGAATCACTAAAAAAAAAAAAACTCGAAACGTACTTAAATAAATAAATTTGTTCACTGGTGAGACTCAAAAGGACTTGAATATTGAAATCCTCCATATCCTCTATACTTTACGCGTACTCGAGATTGAGAGAATCATTTCGACAATGTCGGTAACGGTAAGCATTCTCGATTCTCGGCCATTTTTGCTGGTGTGGTTCTTAGATTCGGCTTTGCTTTGGATCCTTCTTTTTTCGCTATTTTTAGATCTAGTTAGAAAGGATTTACATGCTTTTTTCTCACTGTTCCTTGATTCTGTGATTTCGATATATGAAGTCTGAGAGAGATCTCTTTACTGTGTCGGTGTTATAAAAAAAAAAAAAAATCTACAGTTTCCAGATTCTTCTGTTCCACAGATTTTAATTGATGAATCATTTCAAAAGAAATTTGAGTTATGGGTGTATTGATGATCTCTCCACAGGCTGCTTTCATTGATTCGGATCAAACTCACAACAACATTCTAATGGATTCACAGTCAACTGTCTCCGGTGTAAGCAACCACAAGTTTCATCTTCACAAAGGCTTTTCATTTCTCATATTTCTGCGTAAAATACGATATTATCTTTGTAATATAGTTGTGGGATTCATTCATTTTTTGTGCAGGTGAAAACTGTCAAGATAAGCAATGTTTCACTACTTGTTTCTAAGAAAGATATTAAAGAGTTCTTTTCTTTCTCTGGTGACATTCAGTTCCTCGAGATGCGAAGGTCTGATTCTAATTATCTCCTTGTTTAAGATCAATCATTGTTACCAACATTCTAATGTTTTACTTATATCATCACAGTGAGACACAAGAAAGTCAAGCTGCTTATGTTACTTTTAAGGATCCTCAAGGCGCACAAACTGCAATGCTCTTAACGGTATTTCTTAGTTACGCCATATGCATCACTCGGTATATATAATGGATTAGTGTTTACAGTTTAAAAATGTTTTCTCCAGGGAGCTGTCATTGCAGATCTTCGTGTTAGTATTACTCCTGCTGTGAACTACGAGCTGCCACCAGAAGCCCTTGCACTTGACTCGGTAAAGACCCGAAAACTCTTTGTTTTATTTGTTTAACTCTCTTGGTTTTCATGTTGTCTCCTTTGTGTGGCAGGAAAGTTCGTTTAACGGTTTCACTGTCAAGAAAGCTGAAGATGTGGTGAATATCATGGTGGGAAGGGGTTATGCTCTTGGAAAAGACGCAATGGAGAAAGCCAAAGCATTTGACGACAGACACAACTTGATCTCAAACGCTTCTGCAACCATTGCCTCGCTTGACGATAAGATGGGTCTGAGCGAAAAGCTAAGCATAGGAACTACTGTGGTGAATGAGAAGTTGAGAGATATCGATGAGCGTTATCAAGTCAGGGAGATAACGAAATCTGCTTTAGCAGCTGCAGAAGAGACAGCAATCAGTGCAAGAACAGCTTTAATGGCGAACCCTTATGTATCAAGTGGAGCTTCGTGGTTTTCAAACGCGTTTGGCGCAGTGTCAAAGGCGGTTAAAGAGAAAGTTGAGAATGGGGGAGAGGGAAGAAAGGAGATCATCACACTTGATCCCTCTTCACCTAAAGATCCTGCTGTAGTTCCTGTTAAGCTCGGTTGATGCAGATCTCATCAAACCAATCGGATCTCGACTAAATTCTTTGATAGGTTTGTTGTTCATATATATGCTTTCGTATGCTAAAGATAGATAAAAATACATAAACCATAAAAGGTGTTCTTACATTCAGACAGCATTTTGTTCCTCTCTCAAAAGAGATTATTAAGATTCAAGCAAAATAGCATATGACTTGCAAGACAAAGAGAAATTGGTCTCAAGAACTGAGTTGAAGAAACCTCTGTGCCATTGGATGCGTAGCGTGCGAAAGCTCACTCGGTTTCAGAACTTCAACAATCTCTCCGTCGACAATAAGGCAAACAATATCAGCAACTTTCTGAATCTGTTTGATACTGTGAGAAACAATCACAGTAGTAATCCCTCTCTGCTTCTTAAGTTTCACTATAACATCCTCAATGTTCTCTGTCGATATCGGATCAAGAGCACTTGTTGGTTCATCCAGCAGCAACACCTCAGGCTCATTGGCTAGAGTCCTTGCAAGTGCTACTCGTTGAGCTTGACCCACAGATAACTCTGCACCAGTCTTCTTAGCAAAGGAAGCATCAAGGTCTGCAAGACTTAGCAGCTTATAAACCTCTTCGTCACTTAGTTTCTCTCCTCTCAAATTTGGACCATATCTCACATTATCCGCCACAGTCCCTGTGACCAACCAAACAGGAGTTTATCTCCTATGGTTCCAAAATTCCACAATCAAACCTATGAAACTAGAGGCTAATCAAATCCCAAATTTTGATAATTACCTTGAAAAAGAACAGGAAGCTGAAAAAGCATTCCAACTCTACGACGAAGAGCAATAACATCAACCTTGGTTATATCTTCACCGTCCAAGAACACAGTTGACTCCGGTGGCTCCCAAAGACGATTCAGAGATCTCAAAAACGTTGACTTTCCACTTCCACTAGGTCCAATCACACCAACGATCAGACCTTTTGGTATATCCACCGTAACTCCTTTCAAGATCCGAGATCCATCATCGGCGACTCGGGTCAGATCATGTACCCGAATCTTTGGTTCTGAACCAGACACACCAACGTCCACAAGATGCTCTCGTAATCCATCGGATTCGTTAGACCAAAGTGACGGCATGGCTTTAAAGTTTTCAAAATGTTTGATCAAAATCAAAACACTTTACCAAAAGATTTGTGTCCGTATATGAGCAATAAGAATCAGTCAATTGATGTAGACAATTTAGTTATTCTTACACCACTCGGCACTCGCATTTAGTGGACAAGTTTTAGGACCAATCTCTGACATTTACATAACACTAGATTCTTTATTATTTTTTTGTTTAAAGATATACAAAGATCAATTTTTTTTAAGGAGTCTTCTCAAGATTAAATCTTCAGTTATTATTTTCAGCATATAGAAAGCTCAGGAGAGCGAATGTTTAACGGGGATAGTAAACATATTATCAGGCCTGACTCATTTATATTGGGCCGTTTGCTATACTTTTAAAAGACTAATTTTTACGATTTTGCTTAAAAAACAATTAAATTTGGGTTTTTAAATATGAGAAAATTTTTACTAAAATGTTATGGGCCAATAAAGTGCACGGACGATTGCGATTGCGTCTGCGATTTTAAAATTGCCGGATGTTGTTCGTTTAACAATCGTGTAATTTGTCGCTGCGATTAATCGTCAATTAAAAAATCGCATCACTAATTTTTTATGCGATCAAAAATTTCAATCGCAAATCGCAGCGACTGATTGCTATGATGAGAAGGTAATAAGTAAAAAAGTAAAGCCTGACTTGTTTTGGGTGTATGGTGGGATATATAACTTTTTTCCTTATAAAATTTTCCTTGTTTTGATTTCTCACTAAATCTTCGGATTTGCAAAGTCCGATTTATTCGATAGTTCAGCCATGTGGTTAAGTAGAAGAGAAATAGGCTGATCAGACCTCCCTTTTTAAAGGAAAAAAATAGCGGTTTTAACCTCGAGCTTTCTCTTGATTGCGAGAACAGAGCTCAGCTTAGGGCGAACCGTTCGCATTGGAGCGAGTCAATCGGCTCGGAAAAATTGACTGGGCCAGATAAACTCTTGAAATTCGCATTATTACCGCGACTTTTGCAATTCTTCCTAGGGTTTCGAAAAAAGAAACTCATGCACGCAATAATAAATGTTTACACGAATATCGAAGACTAGGGATGTCAAATGAGTTTCATGACCATGGGCAAGACCAGTCCAAATTATAATAGTCCGGATTTGGTCACGCCCAAATTCGCCCAAATTCGAAGCGGTCAATATGAACTAGAAGCCCATTTAGTCCACAAATAAATGGGCCGAACCCATCTGGACATGTGCTGTCCAATAAGCCTTAAAAATTAGGATTACTAATTTGGAGAAATTTTTTTTTTTTATTTCTTTAAAAATTAGGATTTACACTGACATTTTCACTCCAAAAAATATTTTTATAGTTTTGGAGGAAAAATGTGATTTTACGATTTGGCGGAAAAATGTAATTCTTCGATTTGAGAGAAAATGTACTTTTGCGGTTTTGGCGGGAAATAGAAAATTATATTATTTGGGCCCTATGGGCTGTCCAGTTGGTCATGGTCTTATTTGCGCTTGATCTTAATTGGACACGGTCCTATTTGGGCTTATACTATCATGATCCTATTTGGTCTTGGTCCCATTTGGACTTGGACAGTCCAATTGGCATCCCTATCGAAGACCATCAAATCAAGCAATTGGGTGAGACGTGTGAGCGTGAAGGACCACGAAGAAACCGAGGAGTTCCTTAACAAGGAAAGCAGGGGATAAGGATGAAGCTACGATGAGAAGGTAATCTCTTAGCTAAACAAAAAAGTCAAAAAGTAAAGCCTGACTTGTTTTGGGTAACATCTCTAAAGAGAAACAAAATGATGAAGCACCCCGACAGGTACATATACATATATATTCACTTGCGGTCATGTATCTTATCTTGCATCTCATTGTATCTTTACATATGCTTATGTTACTGCATTCGCGATGGGAGAGAGAATATGAGAGACAAAGAGCTGAATCCATGGAGAGCGAGTTCGAGAGATTATGACTGTTGAAGGAGTAATACACTTTGTCACTTTGGTTTCTCATTTTTTCCACTTTGGTTTGCTCATGCTTTTCCTTGAATTCTCACAGGAGAATGAGTGGAAGAGAGCTGAACTATATGACTTCATCCGAGCTGCAGCAACTTGAATCTCAAATGCACTCATGTGGATTGACAAGAATGTCAATATTTCTCTCCTTTGTATCTATCTATTTTTAGTTTGACTTCAATTTTGTTATTTATCTGATCCTCTGTATAGTTTCCGACTCAGGTCTCCTTGATTTGATTAAGTGACATTGTTTTCCTTCCAAAATCTTATTATATTTAACTTTATATCGCGGGGATGACATGTTAACATTTTTCTTATAATCTTTTGATTTATGAATAGAAATTTAACACTAAGTCTTTGTTTGGCTAAGTTGAATAATACCTACACAACATTTTCTAACTAATTCCATACATTCGAGCGCAACAGAGCAATAATGTGATCCCTCAAAAAGATGTAATTCGCTTGATCTTTACCTCCAATGATCGAAACCACATTAGCTTCGATTTCTTCCTCCATTAGGGTTTTTTTTTTGTGATTGTTGCTCCGTTACTATCATCCCTCCTTTAGATGTCTTTATCTATGTAGAGGACCTAGAGGTTGTGACTTGTGAAGAAAAAACTTTCAAGAGAACAAGGTCAGCTCTTTTTTCTGATGTCAAATTATGTAAATAAGTATTGAACTAAAAGAATCGATACACGTCTAAATACTCGAGGAATGAAGTTGGATCCGAAATGTTAATGATGTTGTCTAACTCATGAAGCATCAATCATGTTTTATTTACATGTCCCTTTGGAATAATGATTTGGAGATTATTGAATGTACCTCTAACAACTTTACAGTCTCCAACATATCCAAGGACTAACAACAGAACAAAGCCTAGAAGCAAATTCAAGTACTAACAACAGAAAAAATGCATAGAAGCAAAACAAACTTGTATTAGTGAATATAAATAAGTTTAAATTTTGACCAAAAAAAATAAGTTTAAATTTCTGAAATAAGGAGGGAAAGTTCGAAACTTTCACCTCCTCTAGAAACAACACTTTGATAGTTACTCATAGGACAAGGATGGTAATTTGATTAACATAATGTGTATCAGGCCTGGCTCATTATATTGGGTTATGTGCAATATTTACAAAAGATTGCCATATATGATGATTTTGCTAAACTTTGGGAATCTATTTTAAATTTTTTTTAAAATTTTATCTTACAAAAATAATATGGGCCAAGAACCTAGCCTGCACACTATACTTGCTTGACTAACACCATTTCTATATATATGCTATGAGTGGACTTGATGCAGTCTCACTCAATAAGGAGATCCATACATTTTAATTTCAAAACTGTTGGCAGGAAATGGATTAAGGTTTTACTGATTTAAGATGTTATTAATTAACTACAAAAAAAACACATATGTTATCATCCCTCAACTAAAAACTTGTGGCCTTAGCATCTCGAAATTTCAATCTTTTTCCCTGCTTTTGGTTTCTTTAACCCCAAACTTAATTCACATTCTCATTTTTTTTTCCATATATATAGTCCTCATGTAAGTAGTCCTAGCTAATTTTGATGAAACTACTCTCATATTATTTTCGTAATATTTTTAGAAATTAGAAAGAAATAATAATTTAGAAGCTATATATAAAGTTTGTTCCACTAAAGAAAACCTTAAAAGTGTAGATTAAATTGTCAGAGATAATTCATCTGTAACTTTAAAGTAACGGTGCATACTGAAGGTATAACACAAAACTGACGTACGTTACTAGAACTATGTTCGTGAATAGAAATAAAGATGAGATTCCTTAAAGCTAGATAATAAATCAACGGCCAAGGTGAAGCATATTTTCATAAGCCATGCATGCCTACATGAAACTACTTGTGACACTCAACAATTCCAAATACTTCGTATTTAGGAAAAAGAATACAATTAGAAAGAAGAAAAAAACTATTGATGGTTACAAAGCTTTTGTTCACATTTGGTGGACGTACGTAACGTAATGGAGAACCAGTGAACCACAAAGCTTAAAGCATGCGTCGCACGTGTCAACAGCATCTGAACACGTTGCTGGATTCTTATTTTGTTCCTATGCATTCTGGTTTGTATATAAACGTTAACTACGTTTTCGACAAATTATAATTTTTTCTTTCTTTCTTAAAACTACTTTTGTAAAGTAACAAAATCACCCACTTACACACGTACACTATCTACGTCAAGTGGAGTGCAAAACAGTTCATATCCGTGGAGGTCTAGTAATTTATTTCTTTTTTTTTTTTGGTCAGGAAGTTTAGAATATTCTTATCAGATAATTCTTGAAATGTATTCGTTATGTTATGTGAATGCACTAGCCAAAAGAAAAATAAATGCAACTACCATCATTGGTTAATATTCATGAAACTTATTCTATTAAAATCTTTATTATACGAAATGGTTGAGAATGTATTCTCTGGATTTCACCGCCCGGCCCGTTTGTGACGAGAGAGTAGATTTCTCAAGTGTTTTGGATAAGTTTAGTGTTTTTAGAGTATTAAAAAGTTTAGAAGCACTTTACAATTAGACTCTATGGTTGGATATGACATATCTATAAAAATATTCCGGAATCTGAATTTAGCATTATATCACATAACTCATTTATGGTACTGAAATTTAGTGGACCACAGCTAGGAAAAGAGAAGTATTGGTGTGATAAATAAAGCTCAGGAGAAGTCTGGATTCCTTAACTCATTTTAGCTAGCTTCTCTCTCTCTCTTTCTCCCTCTTTCTCTATAAATTGATAAGCAAATAAGTGCGAGGTAATTAAGAAACTAGAAGGAATAAGAAATGTTGGAGAGAATATGTGAAATGTGGAGAGAAATGAGAGATATAACGGCAATGGTAGTGGTTCAGATAGCTTCGGCAGGGTTAAACATATTTTTCAAGCTAGCAATGGAAGATGGTATGAACCCAAGTGTACTCGTGGCCTATCGTCTCTTGTTTGCTACACTTTTCATGCTTCCTTTGTCCTTCATCTTTCAAAGGTTGCTTTTCTTTTATATAGTATGGTTGTGTTTGGATGTTTTGATATTAATAAGTTGTCTCGTTTTTAACTCCATGTGATCGATTAGGAAGAAGAGGCCAGATTTTACATGGAGGCTCATGTTACTAGCATTAATCTCAGGATTACTCGGGTACGTAATTGTCACACACACAAAAAGAATAATCTTTTTTTTTTCTTTTTTTTGTCCTAAAGTCAATATATAATTCCTCTCTGACTTTATCAAACCAAAATCATTTTTTGAATACCAGGAAGTTCTGAGAATTAATTACTTAAAACCATATATTATCAACCAGTAATTTTACATTTAAAAAGAGACAAATGTACCAAAACATAGCGGACAAAGTTTAAACTAGTAGCTGGTAATATTGATTAAAATGTAAAAAAAAAAAAAGTTGAAAGAATATATATTGGGACTATAAACACTTTATTAATATGGTGATAATTGAGCAGTGTGGTGATACCGAGTATCCTAACCATTGCGGGTCTGGCTCTAACGTCAGCAACATTCACCTCTGCAGCTGGCGTTCTCACTCCATTGATCACTTTCATCTTCGCTGCACTTCTTAGGCAAGTGACACAAGTCTAGCTAATTCAATTTAATTTGACCGTTTCGAGATATGTTTAATTATACCATTAAGGCATTAAGCAAAAGATAATCCATATATTTTTATTGGGTGGGTTCAATAGGATGGAGAGTGTACGGCTTGGATCGAGCGTAGGGTTGGCTAAGGTTTTTGGAACATTGTTTGGTGTTGGTGGAGCTCTTGTCTTTATATTTTATAGAGGAATAGAGATTCATCTATGGTCAACTCATGTTGACCTAGTTAGCAAACCACGTGACTCCTCACGTGATGCTACCACTCACCATATTTCCATCCTTGGGGCTCTTCTAGTCTTTGGTGGTAACATTTCCATCTCACTTTGGTTTTTATTGCAGGCAAGTTTTTTTTTTCTGTCTTCTCCATGTAAATTGCCATGTGTATTTGTGTACTAAGGCATGTAGTTAGTTTGTTTTACAGGTTAAAATAAGCAAACAATTTGGAGGGCCTTATTGGAACGCGACACTAATGAACATGATGGGAAGCGTAGTGGCTATGCTTGTCGCTCTTTGCTGGAAACGCGATTTGAAGGAATGGAGATTAGGCTGGAATATAAGACTCTTAACCATTGCTTATGCGGTAAAATATTAGTCCATCCATTATTAAGTATATATGTCTTGTTGTTTATATTACAAATTTTTAAGAAAATATATGTTTTGATGTTGTCCATTTCAGGCAATTGTGATTTCCGGGATGGTGGTAGCAGTAAACGCATGGTGCGTCGAGTCTAGAGGGCCGTTGTTTGTATCAGTATTTAGCCCTATAGGACTTGTGATCGTAGCTCTTGTTGGATCATTTGTTCTAGATGAAACACTTCATTTGGGGAGGTACAAACTCATGTATATTGTGTTGTTTTGTGGAGATGGATTTGGTGTATGTATGTATGTATATAATGGTTTATCTTTTACTTGGCGACATTACAGCATAGTTGGTACAGTGATTATCGTTGGAGGATTATATCTTGTGCTATGGGGTAAAAACAAGGAAATGAAGAGTATCCCAACGACCTCGAATCATATTGAAACAAATAAGACTAGCAAAGACATCACACTCAACAATCTCCCCACATTAAGTACAAATGTCCTTTGATTCCATTCACAAATCAACCATCATTTATATATGTTCGTATTTTTTTTATTTAGACTCATTATATATTTGATTAAGTGATTGCAGTGTTAACAGTATTATTCTAACTAACGATGATTTCTTGAACCATGTATGTAAGTTATTTTGTGCCTTTGACCTTTGTACTACCACATCCAAAAGTTCATATGGTCGGATGTTGCATGGATTATTTTTCTTGATGTTGGTTCTAAATAATTTCAGCTGTGAGGTCAAAATACATTTACTATGAACAAATCTTTTCATTTAAATTAGGGAACTTAATTTATATATTTTAATCTTAAATTAGAACGTTTTCTTGTTCGAATACTCTAATTTCACATGCTAAAAAACAACCATGTTTTAGCTTTATGATAATTTGTTCGATTTCACTAATTACAATGGATGTGTTAAAAAAAAAAAAAAAATTACATGAAATTTAACCGTAGATAGTGTCCTCTATAAAATGGTCGTACCTTTTTGATGGGTTGATTTCTCAATTTCATAAAACGAATTGGCTGGAGAAAGAATATCTTCAAAAGGCTAAAAGGAAGAAGAAAGTCGAAGTTTGTTTGGTCGTCGTGTAATGCAAGCAAGACAAAGGGTACATAACTTATAGGTTGGAATGGGCCAATAATGGGCCGCTCAAAAACTATCCTCTCTGCTAAACCTAAACCCTTTCTCGTAATTGATTCTCCAAGCATCCTTATGAATCTTTGATTCGTAGAAGACAAATCACCAAAAGATTCGCAAGTTGACATAGCAGAGAACATACGACACCGTCCTAGACACAAAAAAGAATAACTCAATTCATTCGTATAGGCTTTGTCTTGCCTCTTCTTAAAAACATGTACACGTGTTTAAGTATAAATGCATATATTTAGATTCTACCAACAAAATTAAAAAGATTGGAAACATGACATCTGCGTATCGTCCAAGAGTTATTGTGAATGGAACAAGAAGAACAAGAACGTTCCATTACTTCTATTGTCGTCATTGTAGCCGTACCATTAGGCTAAGAAGCTTTGGTCTATATGGTCCTATATGTCCTTTCTGTTCTAGAGAGATCAATCTTCACGATGAGCTTGACATTATGAGGCCAAGCCGACCTTATTGGGATACCGATACCGATTGGATCACTCTCCATCTTATCAACCCTCCAAGAAGTAACCGGTTCAATCGTGATGATCTAGTTTATAATACCGACGAGGAATTCGCTGATGTTATGCCTAGTGTACAAATCGGTCCACCACCAGCCTCGCAATCCGCCATCGAGGCTGTAAGGACGGTGACAATCACGGAGGAAGATTTGGCGAAAGAGAAAGTTTGTGCGATATGCAAGGAGGAATTTGAAGTTGGAGAGGAAGGAAAAGAATTGAAATGCTTGCATTTGTACCATTCAAGCTGCATTGTGTCTTGGTTGAACATTCACAACACTTGTCCCATTTGTCGCTTTGAGGTTAACTTAGGTGTTCCCGAAAGTAACGTAGATGAAGGAGGGTCTCACCACGTCGACAATGATCGAACAAATCGGTTTCGGACTCGAGTTTGTTCTTTGTGGCCTCTCCGAATGATGATTGATTGGGTACATAATCTCATAGGTAAGATTCCACCTCTCGATATAACTTTCATGGCTTTCCTATTATGCTTTTACGTTTTTTAACTATGATATTTAACTCTTAAGAATATATATAATTTCGCAGATATATGAATAACAAACTCTTGACAATAAAATTAAAGAATTGCAAACAAGAATGTATGAAACTAGGAATATTGACTACAAATTAAGTTAATTATGAGAGAGAAAGGAGAAGAAACACAAATAAAAAAGATAAGATAAAAAGGTTTGGGAAAGGAAAAAAAAACTATATAAAGAGGCAAAGTTGGTGAAAAGGCTAGAATCGGCGTTTATGGAACATTTCATGAAACAAAACTTTGGCATTAACAAGACTATATATGCATTAATTATCTTTTATTCATTTGTTAAGTTGTAATTAACAACATGTAAATAAAAAATCTTGGTAAAATCTTGCTTTGTCTCCCTCTCTTTGTTTCTTTCTCTCTGGTGATCATTGAAGACATTTTAGTTGGTACGTTTTGAATACCCTCACCAACCCTTTTTATTTGCCGGTTATCTTATTTTTGGTCTGACTTTGTAAAGCCGGGTTTGTGCCTTCTCGGTTTGGTTTTCTGTAACCTCCATTTAGAGCTTTCCATGGACTTCTCTACTAAAGACTTGGGATGAGTCTTGTTGTACCTTCTTTTATTCTCATGCATTCAATAGTGAAATCTCTTATCAAAAGAAAGCTTGGTGATAGAATTTTTTAGGTGGGTGATCTAATATAGTCGATGGAATAAGACAAAAGTGACAATGAATACGAAAAAGACAACACACTCGAAGCCCCATCACAAAATCAAGATATCGTATCTAATCATATAATCATCATCCATCCATCAAACAAGTTGTATTATAATAATAGTTTCCATACTCGTATAAATACATGCCACCCCCTTGATGTTCTTTTACAACACAACAAATATAATCATCAAACATATAAAAGAGGGAAAAAAAAATGGTGAATACGAAAAGTGCTTTTTTGTTTTCCATGGTCTTCATGGCATCATTATCATCTCTTTCTCACGCACTTGTACTTAACGGCCTCCAAATTAACGCCATCCAAGTAACTGGTGTCTTGCGTTGTTCCCTTAACGGAAACCAATACGCACCTCCACTCATTGGCATCACCGTTCACTTAGTTTGCGACGGCTCAAGCACTGACCTAGCTCAAGCTGTCACAGATCAATACGGATCATTCAACATCATGCATGCTCAAACTCCTGAACGTTGCTAACTTTGACCTACAAAGATGCTGCATTAGGGTTAACCTTCCGGTGGCCTCATGCTCGGTCTTCCCGTCCACTGGTTACTGTACAGGCTCACTGGGCTTACTTAGAGTCATCCAGTCAACTCTTGGAAATGTAGCCTGTATAGCCCTGAGTGGACCTATACGTATAAATCTTTGATGGTCTATTGACACGTACGCTCTCGTGTTTGCTTGCATGAATTTTCTTTTAAGTTTGATTTGCATGTATGTTGTAATCTATCGTTGTTAGTCAAAACAAAAATACGCGTAGCATATGCACCAGTCACGACACCATGAGCTCTCTTTTGTAACATTTCTTTGTTTTATCATAAAAATATATACATGTATTGTGGTACCCGACGGAATAAAATTTGTTAATTTAGTGTTAGCTTTTTTTTTTTTAAATTAAAATTTGATGTGTTTAGTTAAATAATTATTTCTTGGTCCGAAATGAAAGCATATAATCCATTATAAATTGTCATGATGATTGTGGAATGAAATCACAACTTAACCATTTCTGAACCTATTTCATTAAAAACATATATCTCTAGTTTTAATAAAAAAATCTTTTGGGAGCCTCGTGGGATTAGTCCTTGGGTCTAGGAAACCTTTGGAAGACCCGCGGTTATTCAAAAAAAAAAAAAAAAAAAAAAATCCAAACAAAAACATTTTATTAAACCGTCGTCTTCATCATTACCATCTTAACTTTAAGAATCTTGTTGTTGTATAGTTACGTCATTTGCGATAGATAAAATTTGTAAACATAAAATTACTACAAATACAAATTGATACGCATTATAGACCGGAAATAAATTTGTTCATATTATAAAAAATTTGTTAGTATATGTAGCTAATTAGTTTTAATACTTCACCAAACTTATAATCATACCAAACTTGTAACAAATAGATGATAAAATAAATAAATTCAAAATTATTGTAGCAAGAAATATTGATTATTTCAAAAAATACCAACAAAAACTAAAGTATTTGTAACAAAAGAGATGAATTATAACAACAGATCTCAGATGACAAATGCCCAATAATCATCAATGTGACCAACCCAATTAAACCAATCTCAAAAATCTTGGAACTCAAAAAACAAAGTGTGAGAACCAATGAAAACCCGGCCCAATAAACAGGCCCAATAAACCCAACTTGTTCCTAACCCCACGCGCGTATATCGGAATCGCCGATGCCTCTCCTCTTCAATCTCAAAATTTCAAAATCACTTTTTTTTAATTTTAATTTGGGTCAAGCAATTCAAAATCACAGCAAAATAAAATACAAATTCAAAATCCATATCCAATTCTCATCTAGGGTTTTCTGATTAAACAGGCGAAGAAGATCCAAATTTTGCTACAATGGTGAGAATTTCTCAATTTCTTCAAAACCCTAATTTTTTCTTTTGTGGGATTGTGTTGATTCCTCAATTTGTATAACTGATTGATGATCAGGGAGGTGAAGGAGAAGATCTAGAGCCACTCTTTGATTATCGTCGTGTTCAACCAGCGAATTTCGTTTGTATTGACGGTGAGTTTCACTTGATTTGGTGACTGAGAGCGTGAGAGTGATAAAGATGACTTCTTTCTTATTGCTCTGTCTCGCTTTGAAATCTTGTAGACGATGATGATGATGATTCCTCGAAGACGCCGGTTCCGAAGAAAGCGAAAACTTCACAAACAGTAAGAATTGATCTTTATGATTGGTTGTCTCATTGAGCTCTTTTGTGTTAGCTTGATAGAGAGTTTAGGTATTGGGGCTTGTAAAGAGTTTATAAAGTGTGTTCTTTGATTCACTTTTGGGTTTTTTCTTCTATGTTTTGGTCACTGATTTCTGTTGTAATAGACGAATCAATGTCAATGAAGGAACAGTTTTTGATTATGTCCTTCACAATTCATAGTTTGAATCTATCATCACTCCTTTTGGAATTTGAATCATATTGATTTACTTTTATATAGGTTGAGAAGTTAGATGATGATGTGAAAGTGATTGAAGTGGCGGGTGATGACGATTGGTTGCTTCCTCCGCCAAAGGTTATCTTCGACAAAAATAAAGAGTCTGTTGAAGATTCAACTATTAAAGCATTGAGGTAATTTTGTATGTCAAGAGTATTTCTCATCTCTAGGCTTGCCATGTTGCTATTAGAAGCTATGATTTGTCCAACTTATGACTCTGCTAATTTAAGTGTAGTATTTGACTATTTAACAATGCACCCTGATGATATGATTTCGATGACTGTAACTTCTACTTTGTTTTTGCTATCCCGAAAGAGTCCCATTGTTACAATTTGATTCTAAATTCCTAAATGAAATATGTAATGTAGGTCGAAGAAGATGGAGCTTATGTCATTTACAAAAACTGTAGCAGATGTGATGCAGGAAGTGGAGGAGTCTGCTAAAAGGGAAGTTGAAGAATCTCGCAATCCACCTTCAGAGGTTGCTGCTCAGTTACCACCAGAGCCTACGAATGACAGGGCCAAGATTGTCATTACAATACAGGGCAAAGATGGACAGAAGACATTCCGGGTTTTTGCGGTAAGTTTTTATACTCTTGCCACTTTCTACCCAACCTTCCATCAACAATAAGCTTACTATCCAAACTTTGTATGTGGGATAAGTAGAGATAAGAAGTAGCTGTTATGTCACCTTCGTTAACATCCACATAGCTAGATATTTTGAACTTTCTAGGAAATCAGGAGTATAAATACAGTATTGAAGAAATCATTGAATGTAGTCGAGTATTCGAGACGTGTATTAATGTCTTAGAGGATTGGTTGAGGGATCTTAAGACAAAGCGCTTTTTTCCTTTCCGTTGGTTGGTACTAGACTGGTCTCAGACCATGAGCGGCACATTAATAGATATGCATATTCTGTTAAAGCTTGTTAAATATGAGATGCCTTTGTAATTTTGTATAATGATGTTGTTTTGGTATTTACCATTTTCTTGTAGGATGAGAAGTTTGAGCGGGTTATCAAACTGTATACGGATAAAGTTAAGCTTGACCCGCAAAATCTTGTATTTATATTTGACGGTGATAAGATTGATCCGTCGACCACCCCTTCTCAACTTGACATGGAGGATCATGATATGATTGAAGTACACACCAAACAAAGATGACAAACAGGTAACTGATGAAGTCCTCAACTTGTTTTTGGGTCTCGTCGTGATACAATGATGCTCATTATCTTTGATTGAATTCAAGTCAGGCGCTTATCGGATTTGGTGGTGAAGCTCAAGGCGTCTGCCAAATCTGGAATGTCGATCCGTTCAACCTTTTGCGTAAACCAGTGTTTTTTTGTACATCAACAAGGGCATGAAAGGAATCTCTGCTAACACTGGTGTTGTATCTGTGACCTTTCTCATTTTATCGGAATTTTTTCTTTCGTTCTTTCTTTCATCGGTTGGATAGTAGATTCAACATTTTATTTAGGAGTGTAATATATAAGATTAAACCAAACTATTTTGATTTTAACTAAATCAAAGTAATCCAATCTGAAAAACCCAACTAAACTTTTGTTTTGTTGGAATCGTTATGCTTTCTCTATCTCTTGAAAAACTAAAATCTATCTTACTTAAATTACTAATCTAAGAAAAAAACCAAAAACTATTGTATAAAGTAACTGACAAAAACTGTAATTTGCCAATGAATCATTTTTACCAAATATAGCGATACTCGGTTTAATTCGGTTTACTGTACTTTTTCTTGTTTTTGTAATAAGTGTCGTTTTAGACTGATATTTTTATTTTATTTAAGTTTTTTTTTTAACATCAGCTTTAATATAATTTTGATAAAAAAAAAAAAACATATCACATTTTTCATCAAAAAAATCATAAAAATGTAAAATTTTAAGAAGTAACACATATAAGTGTTATATATAAATATATAATAAAACCAACAATTAACCAAGTTTAGTATGAAACGGATATTTGTAGTTTTTGTTTGGTCCGAAGTTAGCTACGACATGTGGCTTGCGCTTATTGGTTAGGAAAAGGTAAGCTTAGAGTTAGAGATGATGGGTCGTGAAAGAAGAAGCTGTCACAGTGGTACATACGTCCGTGGCTTCCCCATATCTCACGTGCATACGGATAACGTAATCACCAATTTTCTATGTCCCCACCCAAATATCTACGTGGCTTTGCCACATCATCCTAACCAAACCGACGGATTTTTTATCAGATAATAGGAAAAAAGCTCCTAAAAACAGACACAAGCTTTTGTCACCAATCTCTGATTTTTTTAGTTCTCTCATCGGTAAACATTTTTCCTTCTCTTTTTGTTTCTTTATTTTTGTTCGATCTGTGATCTCTGATAAACTATTTTGATGTAACAGGAACGAATCTTTTATATGTTATGGATAATAATTGAGAAAATGGAAAGAGTATGTGAGTTTTGTAAAGCGTTTAGAGCAGTGGTTTATTGTATAGCTGATACAGCAAATCTTTGTTTAACATGTGATGCTAAGGTTCATTCAGCTAATTCGCTTTCGGGACGACATTTACGTACTGTTTTATGTGATTCTTGTAAGAATCAGCCTTGTGTTGTTCGATGTTTTGACCATAAAATGTTTCTTTGCCATGGATGTAACGATAAGTTTCATGGTGGTGGTTCTTCTGAGCATCGTAGAAGGGATTTGAGGTGTTATACGGGTTGTCCTGCTGCTAAAGATTTCGCGGTTATGTGGGATTTTCGAGTTATGGATGATGATGATGATGTTTCGTTAGAGCAATGTTTTCGAATGGTTAAACCTAAGGGACGATCCGAAATGAACAAGGTTTGATGCTTGTTTTGTATGTAATATATACTTTTTGATAGCCAGGTGGCTAAGAAAGAACCACAAGATGGTGGAGCTCGTTCTCTGGCCTTAACTCATAGGGCGAGTCTTCAATCTACTCGAACAAACCACTGGACCATACGCTCTTAGTTTGATTTGTATATCTTTTTATAGCTTTGTAGATGAACAGATCTCTTTATAGCTGATGTACCAATGATTTTGATGGTTTCAGGTGCAAAGAGAAGGTGGTTTTATCTTGGAACAGATTCTTGAATTGGAGAAGGTTCAGCTGAGAGAAGAGAATGGTAGTTCTTCTGTGACAGAACAAGCTGATCCATCTCCATTGGAGCTTCCGAAGAAATCTGAAGAACGGTTAATTGATCTTCCGCAGATCGGAAAAGAGCTGATTGTTGATTTTTCACACTTGTCTTCTTCTTCCACACTTGGTGATTCCTTTTGGGAATGCAAAAGCCCATATAATAAGAACAATCAGGTTTGGTTTAAATATCATACATTACATAGTCTTTGTGGAACCATTAGTTACATGAGATTAGCTCTGTTTCTGCAGTTGTGGCATCAAAATATACAAGACATTGGAGTTTGTGAAGATACAATCTGCAGTGACGACGACTTCCAAATACCGGACATTGATCTCACTTTCCGAAACTTTGAAGAGGAATTTGGAGCTGATCCAGAGCCAATTGCAGACAATAAGAACGTCTTCTTTGTTTCTTCCCTAGACAAATCACATGAGGTTTGAAATCTTCCATCTACTACTATAGAGTCTCCGTTTGATAACAAATTTAATATTTTCTTGTTATAAGCCAAGGTCTCTCTACCTTTTTGATGTGTGTTCAGATGAAGACATTTTCTTCTTCATTCAATAACCCCATATTTGCACCTAAACCCGCTTCATCATCCATTTCATTCTCAAGCAGCGAAACCGATAACCCTTACAATCACACAGAGGAAGTAATCTCATTTTGTTCCCCTCTCTCTAACAATGCACGTCAAAAGGCCATCTCAAGGCTCAAGGAAAAGAAGAGAGCACGAGTGTAAGTCTTAACACCGATAATCTTAAATCCCATTCGAGAGTATATCTTAAACTTTCCATGGTTTAACTAGCATTTTCTGAATTCAGGGAGGAGAAACAAGCTTAATATGGTCCCAAGAAAATGGCAGAGTAACAAAATTTCTTGCATCTCTCTGTTTATTACCATGCCTTTGTACATAAGACACTAATCTACCACTTCTTGCATGTAACTGTGAATCTGAAATTCATCACTTGTTGATTATTTTGTAATCACAGACATGTTTGCATCAAGTTCACCAGAATTAACTTTGTATCAGTCAAATCACAAGGTTTAACTTAAACAAACAATGATGAGATAGCAACAGTGTGATGTAAATAGAAAAACTTGTGTGTTACCAATAAACATAATTGATGTTTTGATGAAATCATATTTGACAAGACCCATTAAAAAGGAGTTAGTTATAGTTGTGATAAATAAGCAAAACCTTTTTTGCTTAAGTTCCACTATCTTGCAAGTTTTGTAAACAAAAGACCAATCTTATCCCTTCAAAATAATCTTAAAAATCAAGCAATTAGTTGAAACAAATGATTCTCTTAACCACAAGCTGGGCCTTGGTTATTAGTATCTCCAGCTACTTATTATTGTCAAAAAAATGAAACACACTTTCTCTTAATCATTTCTACATCAAATATTATTTTTAATATATAGTTTTCACCTATACTAAAAAATACAGTGGCATAACCGTAATTATGATAAGCTTAAGAGACTTCAAGACTCTCTGGTTTGTTTTCTTTCTGTTAAACCGTAATAACCACCAAATTTTTTCTTTTAATTTTGTATTTATTTTAAATGATTAATTTCCCTCGCGATGAGAATCCAAAAGCCTGTATAAATACTCTGTAGCTTCCTCTCTCAAGCTACGTTCTCTCTCTAACTTGAAATCTCTCTCTCTAGCCAAGAAAATTTTTCTCGGAAGTTTCTCTCGAATTTTCCCGGCGGTTTCTCTTCTACTCCAATTTTCTCGGTAAATTTCTATCGCTATACATGTCAATTTCTTCTCCGATTTTTGATTTTATCGTTTTGAATTTGAATCCACTGTGAGAAATAGATGAGATTATCTTTCTCGGAAACTAGATCTGAGTTATTTTCCGTGATTTTGAACTTCCGATTTATCATTTTCTCGAAGAAATTCATTATACGGTTGTTTGATTCTTCGCGATTCCGTTTCCGATGCATAAATTTTGATTATCTTTGTGGTTGATTTGTGAAACAGAACTGTCGAAATTGTCACCGGGAAAAATGGAAAACAAAATCGCGCCGTTTAGTTACAGCGGAAGCTCCGCCGATGTCGTCGGAATCAAGAAATCCCAAGGAGATTCTTCTTGTAGCGGCGTCGTTTCGTCGTCTCTTTTCTCTGATCAACTCTACAAGTCGACTCGCAACATCATGCAACAGCGTCAAGATATGGTGAATCGCGAGGCGTTGTGTTACACGCGTCTTCATGAGGCTTCGCTTGAAGCAGAAGCGCTTCGTCTAGAGAACACTGAACTCCGATCGATGAATCGTCATCTCAAGACTGAGCTCAACAGTCTCATCAGATCTTCGATCCAGAACCGATTTGATCTTCGATCTCCGCTTCGGATGCTTAGCAATCTTTCGATCGGAGGTAATGACGCCGACGAAGTGGAGAATCAGAATCAGAACCGTACGGTTAATCGTGATGATGTCAGTGATGAGAGTCCGACGAGTGTTATGGAGAATGAGGATCTCAATCGTTCTTCGCTTCCGAAGAGCATCTCTGTGAGATCTAGTGGTTACTCTAAGGCGAGTCAGGGAGGTGGTGGTGCGGCTGCTCAAAGTGGAAAACCTCGTGGAACTGTAACTAAGCCTGGGACTTGTGGTCAAGTCAGTACGACGGTATATCTCTTCTTTGTTTTCTTGATTACTTGATGAGATCTTGCTTAAGTTAGAGACGATTTTAGGAGTGATTTTTGTTTAGTGATTTGGGAATTAGGTAATCATTGAGATTATTGAATCTGACCTGCATATGTGATTACAATCCTCCTCTGTGATGTGTTAACAGTTGACTGTTCTGAAGCAAAAGAAGAAGTGTCTTGATGCTGTTTGCTTTCTCTGAAGTATGAACTATAGAGTAATAGTGAACTTGATTCTGTTTGCTTTAGTGTTTTGGTTTAGTGTTTTGGGAATTAGGTAATCATTAAGACTATAGACTTGATTAATTGATAACTGTTGAATCTGACCTGCAAATGTGATTACAATCTGTGTATGTTAGATACCACAATCCCCTATTCCTCATTGGTGTGGCAACAATTGACTGTTCTGAATATATGGCTGCTTATAACATTTTTTCATTTGGTGGTGTAGTTTGAAGGTTTATCTGTTAGAGAAATAAGTTTAGATTTAGATTCTTGAGAAGAACTGTCTTGATGCTGTTTGCTATCTCCAGAGTCTGAACTATATATGTAAATAGTAATGGTAATGGATGAATGAATAATTGCAGGAAAAAGTATATCTGAGAGAAGGTCGATATTGGTCTAGTGTTTTGGGAAATAGGCAATTATTGACATGTAGACTGTTGAATCTGAGCTGCATATATGACTTTTTTAATGTACCACAATCCTTTATTCCTTTGTTTTCTTTGAAGTAGAAATTGATTGTGGATATATGAATGAACGAAATGCAGCAGAAGGTGTATGTGCGAGGAGGAGGGAAGAAAGAAGATCAGGAGGAGGAGATAGAAGTGGAGGTGTACAATCAAGGGATGACAAAGACAGAGCTGTGCAACAAATGGCAAGAGACAGGGACATGTCCATATGGTGACCATTGCCAGTTCGCTCACGGCATTAAGGAACTCCGCCCAGTGATCCGCCATCCCCGTTACAAGACTGAGGTTTGCAGAATGGTTCTCGCTGGTGATAACTGTCCTTATGGTCACCGTTGCCACTTCCGCCACTCACTATCTGAGCAGGAGAAGCTCGTTGCTGCTGGTCTCAAACCCAAGTCATCCCTCAAGCTGCTTACATGACCTGTCCCTGGTTTCAAACCCAAGTCCTCTCCTTCTTCAAGCTGCTTTGATGACCCCAAGGTAAAGCAACAAAGGGTCTGAAACTCATACATAATAGTACAATTGGTAGCTATTGAAACGATTGGTAAAAAGTGAATAATGTGCATAAGTAAGAGCGTCTTGTAAACACTTTTGAGTCTAGTAGTTGTTTGTTTGATATTTCTTTCTCGTTTATTCTGAGACTTTAAAACCGAGAAAAGTATCATCGGTTATCCAAATGTGGTTATAAAAGGAGTCTTTTGGAACTACAGAGAGTTGTGGCCATATATGTGATATATTGATATTGATATACTTTTAGTCGCTTACCAATGTCACAAAACAGAGGAAGGTACAATTATTTGAACAAGGGCTTAATTAAATATGTCTAATGTATGGCTTTCTAAAAAAAATTGTATATATAGAGATTTTGTAAAATTCTAAATAAGAGGTTTTCAATAACCAATGTAATATGCAACGTATCTGGATTCATAAATTTTTTTACCTTTGTCCCAATTCGGAAATTATTTGACTTCCAAAAAATTATGGAAGTTTATTAATGTTTAAAATTGACCAGACACATGTTTCTCACCCCATTTAGGCATTTATATTGTTCTTGAAAAAAAGAATCATTATTTTTGACCAAAAATAGAAAAAATTGTTATTGAAATTTTAAAATATAATGCTATAAAATTTTATTGTTACAACATTTTTACGTATATAAAAAATTAATTCTATATTTCTTTTTTGACTAATTAATGGATCATTTTTTGTAACATAATACTAAAAACATACGACTATTAACAATTTCTGAGTCAAATTTTATAAATGAAATTACGATAATTATATATGGATATATATTGATTTTGGTGAATCGATAAATATTGTCTTTTTAAAATACAGTCAAATGATTTCTAATATTACTAAAAACTGGTTTAATTTCATATAATTTCAATTATTTTTAAGAACCTTATCGTTTTAATTACAAAAAGTGACCGTTAAAATAAGCTTTTCAAACTGTATTTCTAGCCACTAGGTGTTTGATAAAATTTTAAAAAATATAAAATCAATAAATTAAATTTTAGACATAATAGCCATTTTTATAAATTAAAAAAATATTTCATAGGGTCAAAACAATAAATTAAAATCTATTGAGAAGGTAATTAACTTTTACATCTATTATTTGCAATGTATGACCTAGTTGGGTCCACTATTTATATCCATCCTTTTATATATGACCATGTATTAGTATTTTTTTCTCAACTTAGTCATTTTCTCAAACCCCCAATCATATATTTTTGAGAAAATTTCAAAGAAAATGGCTAGAAGCTTAGTTCATGAAAGTTTTGATGACATTTCCATTCTGCTAATCGACCATGACACTGCATCAGTCGCGTCTCTCACGTCAATGCTTAAACAATTTTCAAAAAGAGGTAAAGAAATGGCCAATCTTCGTAAAACAATTTTTTTTTTATTTTCATCGTTTATATTGATGTTGATCATTTTTTCATTTACATACAAATTTTTCTGAATTGTTGCATTGTTATGTTAAAATTTATCATTTGTTCAACAATTTATTATGATTATAATTATCAATCGCTAGATCTTGTTGTTTTTGCATAAGGATCTATGAAATAATTTGAAGAAATCTCAAATCACATATAAATGTATAAATCATAATCTTTTTCATAAAAAAATATATTTGAGACTATTTGGTCTTAGATCTCAATGATTTAATCAAATATATTTTTAAAAAAAAATCAAAAATCGTATTCAGAAAGGTGTATGACAAAGAATAAAGTGATTTACATGTCCATTGATTTACCTATATTTTTGTCGGATATTAAGATTTCGAGATATTTGCTGCAAAACATACCTTCAAATTATAATATAATTAGTTATTATGTAATATTGATCGTTTATCAAATTTATCTAACGGGGATGTGCTTTTAGTCAAGTGGTTAATTCCAATTGACTCCGCCTTCTCCACCGGAGTGCGACTCCAGTAAATCGCGTTACCCCGCGTAGTAGAGATTGGCTATGGATCGGGCCTTGTCGATCCAAAGATGTCAAAAAATCAAATTTATCTAACAATAAGCGTGTTCATTAATATATTTTTGTTTTCAGTTTTTTTTTTTTATAAATGAAAAATATTTATATGTTTTAACCATATTTTTGAAATTTCATATACATCTTATATACAAATTAATGTACTAGTGATGAGCGTGGATGTGGCAAGTAAGGCTTTATCGATGATTGAGAAGCAGAAGAAGGACATTGGACTTATCATAGCCAACATTGAAATGCCTCACATCGACGCAGATTCCTTCCTCACCGTTTTGCTTCACAAAGATATTCCTCTCATATGTATGTCTATGTTCACACATCTTTCTTACGTTTACTGTTTCCACCATTTCCTTTTTCGACTAATTAATTGATATTTGTTTTCTCTATGTGAAAGTGATCAATCCAGAGATAAAGACAAAGAAACCATCAGATCTTTTGATAAAAAGAGCGTGCTTTTCTCTAGATCAGCCAATTTCTGATAATGACATCAAAAACATATGGCAGCACGTGTTACCTAAAAAGATTCAAGAGTCAAAGAAAATCAACATAACGATTGTTAACCAGGAGAATGGCACGGACAAAGATATAAATCAGATAGAAGTTTTCAGGGCAAGCCTTAAGAGACAGAGAACAAGTCAAGCTTCTTTGTTAGGAAGACAACCTTTTATCGACACATTCACAATTTCCGAAACATCCCAAAAGAGAAAAAATAGGGCAAATGTTGAATGGAAAACTAAACCAGGTTGTCTTATTGGGATTGAGAATAAGAGAAAGGAATGGAAGAAAATGGATAGTAGTGTTGTAAGACGTAGAAGTTTATGGACTAATGAGCGTCATATGAAGTTTTTAGCTGCTATCTCCATTCTAGGTGAAAAAGGTATGATTTATATTTCACATTTGACCAATTTGTCTCTATTTATATCAGTTTCTTATATTCCTTTATCTTGCAGATTTTCGTCCCAAATCCATATTAACAATTATGAATGACCCAAACTTGACTTATCGCCAAGTCGGTAGCCACCTTCAGGTTCATATATATAATACTTAAATATTTTGATTTAATATATACTATTTTGATTTTCTTATTATAGCCTTATTATATATTTTTTTATTTTATAAATTTTCAGAAATACAAAGCTCAAATTGAGCGTATAAGCGATACATTGCCAAGAAATGAATGTAAATCGACAGATGAAACATTCGAACACCATTCGGATTACAAATATCCTTTCAAAACATCAGACTTATTGAATAATCTCATTGCAAGTAATTCTTTGTGGAATTCTTTGAGAAAGAAAAACTCTTCATCATCATCCATGAATCAATGCAAGTATTCTTTTACTATCTATTTTTTTTCTTTCAAAATTCTATCATTTTGTATCATATTGATATTAATAAATTTTTTTATGTGCAGTTTTATTTAAAAAACCTATCACCGAGAGAAACAAAAATATGCCAAAGTTTCATGTAGGCGGAAAATCGGATCTGAGCAATCATTCACTTGTTGGTAACATATTTAACAAGTCATCTATAAATGTTAACTATGTTCCTTCAACCATAAGTAATAACCCACCTTACAATATTCTTTCTACCGATAATGCTAACCATACTAGTTTAGGTAGTGAAAACCTTCCTATCCTTTCTGGTTTACCATCAAATGTTCGTGCATCTAACACATGCGCATTTCAGATGGAATCCACAAAGATTTCCATTCCGCAGTATGATCCTAATCCATTTCACCTACCTAGATCTGTCCTTGAAACTGATGTAAGCCAAATAGATTTAGATTTTACATCTACACCCGATTCTTTTCATCCTTTAGCAGATCTATGCACTATGAACTATACCATGAACCCTTTTGAAACTAATATAGACCAAATGGATTGGCTTCCATTTATAGAAAATTATAGTCATCATGAAATCAATATGAACCATATGGATTGGGATCATTCAATAGAAAATTTCATTCTTCTTGAAACTGATGTGAACATAAGTTTTCCTGAAAAACATACAAACCAGATGGATTGGGTTTCTTCAGGAGAAGGTTATGTTCCTTTTGAAAATGTGAATCCCTCTAAAGTAGATATAAGCCAGATGGACATAGATTATTCTCAAGAGGAAACTAATACAAACCATGTGGGTTTTGTTTCTTCTGAAATACGTTATGGCATCCCTCCTAAAACTGATATGACCATTCTTGAAGCCAATTATTCAAACATGGTAGATTGTGTTTTTCCTAAAGATATAAGTTCACTTGAAACTAATACCATCCAAAAGGATTTGGTTTCTTGTAAAACAAGTTTTGCTGCATTGGATAACATAGTTCCTCTTGAAGCCAATATGGAAGAGATGAACTATGTTTCTTATGATGAAAGTTGTGATGCTCCGATTGAAGATCTGATTTCTTTTGACATTAACGTGGATGAGAAGGATATGCCCTCTTGGTTGGACGACAATGGTTTTTCTGAAAGAGATAATATGATGAAGTCTTGCGAATATCACAATGTAGAAATTGTGAATCAAAGAGATCATTTGAAGGGAGAAGATAATTTTGATGATTATCGTGACAACATGGATTGGATTTATGAGGTAATGAATATTTCTTAATGGTGAGGAAAAGGAGAACAACAAAATTAATAGTAGTTTATAAACATAATTTTTCTTTTACTATTGCATATTCATATCATAGATATACATGTATGTTGGTCACAAACAATATGTATGAGATTTTAAAATTTATTCGCATCATATGGTTGAGTTTCGATTTCTGTTAATTGTTTTTCAGTCAGTAATTATAATGTAGTCAAATATTTTTAATTTGACCAAGATTAGTATATCTATTAAATTTAATTCTAAACTTCTGACCAAGTAGTAAATGCTTTAATATCCTAAATTTAGAGGAATTTTAATAGTTTACTTCCAAAGTTACAATCAATCATAATTATAGTTACTACTTACTAGTGTTAGACTGTTAGTATATAATTTTGTCCAAAAAATATTATTTACTCAAAAGCTAAATATTAACATTTTTAGATAACCATTAGCAAGATATTATATTTTTTAAACAAGCATTATTTTATTTCAAAATTTTCGATAAATAGTGTACTAAAGTGTTCAAATAATTGTATTACCTATTTTATACGTCATGCATTTCTATTTATGATTTAGTCAATCTAATCTATGCACTTATGATTATTATCAAAGTTTAATATGAGGTGTTTTAGCGATTGTTATCTCGATCATAACTCTACTTTTAGTAGTTCAACGGACTCGATCCCTCATATTATTATGAAAAGTCATGATCATTCTCTTACTATGAATTGACAATCTAAAAACATAATATTAAGTTATGTGAATGTCATATTATAGAAATTATCAACCAAATGAATGATATAGAGGGAGAAGATAATTTTGATAATAATAATGAGTGCATGGACTGAATTGACGAGACAAAAAATAAAAGTTATGAAAAATATCATGTGTATGATTTTTTTAATGGTTAAGGAAATAATAACAACAAAATTATATAATTTCAATATTTCATAAACATCATTTTTTTTTGTATAATGTACAGAATTATCATTCATATATATGTTGGGCATATACAATAAAGTTAGAGATTCGAAAAGTTATTCATCGTACCACTTTAAAATTTTATTTTCGTTAAATTGTGTGTAGTCATTAATTTCCACATTATAAACTAATCAAATACTTTTGATTTGGGAATCTTGCAAAATGTACCACTTTTTAAAAAGTGGCTTTTAAAATCTACCACATTTGGAAAGAGTTTTCAAAATCTACCACATTTCATTGCCACATGCAAATTGTGGACGAAATTGCCCTTGATGGTGATAAACTGGTGTGTCAGATAAAGGGACAGACTGCTGTGTCAGATAAATGGACAAGTTGCAGTAAATGTTGCACGTTTACAATTGCATATAATTTTATTTAAATAATATGTTATATGGGGACAAGTTCTGATCGAATGAGTAAATATAATTAGATCGGGGATAAATTCATATAGAATGGGTAATAGAATTAGATCGAGGACAAGTTCAGATCGAATGGGTAATAGAATTAGATCGGAAACAAGTTCAGATCGAATGAGTAATAGAATTAGATCGGAGACAAGTTCAGATCGAATGAGTAATAGAATTCGATCGGGGACAAGTTCATATCGAATGAGTAATAGATTGAGTAATAGTACTCGGGGACAACTGGATCATTTTGTTATTTTGCAATAGAAGGAAAAAAAATTCAATAATCCGAGTAGGTGAAGACAATAATGCTCAACTAATCTGTGGACCAAAATAGATGGTGAAAAATCTAAATAAAATTCGAAACCCTTAAATGAGAACTATTGGTGGATAAGATGTGGGATTCATGATAATAGAAAGATGATGAAATCGGGGAGAATATATAGACGCAACAGAGAATTTCCAATTGGGGACAAGATATGGAGACAAAAACGAAAGTTAATTGTTTATTCTCAAGAGATATAATGTTTCTTGGTTAAAGTGCACGTGTTTCGAGGGAGAGAGATAAATAAGGAAGAGAGATAAATAGGAAAGAGAGATAAATTGGGATGATAAATAGAGAAGGTAAAATGGTAACTCTACATCGAAATGTGGTATGAGTTAAAAGAAGGGAAAGAATGTAGTAGATTTTGAAAGGAATTGGGAATAAGCAGTAGATTTTGTAGTTTTTCCTTTTGATTTGACGAAGGTTAGTATTTCCATTAAATTCAATTATAGTAAAACCTTTGGCCAAGTACTAAATTATCTAATGGTGTTCTTAATATCAAAAACAAATAAAATCTATTTTTTAAATGGTATCAATATTTTGTAGTGCTAAAATATAGTATTATTTTTCTCAACAAAAATTATTTTATGTAAATTTAAATATTTTTCATATGACCATTAACACGGCATCATAATTTTCAAACAAGCATTAACACAATATCATATGATCTTAAGAAAACAAACTGATTTTTTTGCCAATAAAAAATCTTATCTTATCCAAGTATTCATATAAATTTTGATTTATTTTAAAAAATATTATCTTATAATAAAACATATTTTACTTTATCTTTAAAAATAAGATTTTGAAACGCTTCCGCATAAATAAACTGAATCTCTTTGATTACTATAACAGTAATCAAATTACTTAATATTAATAGTGACTCATTTCATCATTACTAGGAAGTCTTTGGTTTTGAAATACATTAAAAGAACAGTTGGTTTTAATTTAAATATTCAACTTGATAGTTTTTTTAAATGTATGTTTTTAATATCAAATTTTCATAATTTTGTACATAAATTGGATACTTTTTACAATTAAAGGTTTTGTGATTTTATTGCATTCCAATATATGAAGTTTAGTCATTAGTTCTTCAAATCTTGCAAAAATTATTGCACATATAATTCAGTTTTTATATAAAATAATTTAGCCGTCAAGTTCTTTATTTGGTCCGACAATCAAACCCTAAATCTCATATATATATATATATTAAAACTGATAAGTTTGGAGGAAACCTTAGAAGTGGAATAGTTTCTCTCAATTTATTCATTAGCCAATAGGCTTATTTATACAAGAATCATAACTTGATTAGCAAAGTCTTTACATATATGATAATAGGAAATTTACCTATTTAACAATAAGAATATATCATACAAATGTTAACTTTCATTTCAAGTCGATCTCGTAATCCCCGAGATCTCCTAACAAAAACCATAATATTCTAAACTTCATAGCGATATCGCAAAAATCACACAAAAAGAAAATAATGAACATTTACTAATTTAGTTTTAAAGACCAATATCAAAGACGGCTCAAGTTTACAACTTGTTATGTATAATAAACTAAAATCTAAAACTAATTGTTATACTAATTTTTTGCAGGTATTGGTGACTGAGAAAGACAAGTGTGACCGACAAAATTAGCCGTTATCCAGCTATTCCGGCAGTCGTATTGATCTTTTCTACAAAAAAAGGACCTGAAGAATCTTTCTTCTCTTTTTATTGATAATTAGTATTACTCTATAGTCTACACGACAAATCCAACAAATGGTGTTTTGAATCTTTTGATATATATCTCCAATCAAATATCTCCCAGAATTTCCCTACAAAACATTTGTAAACCACATTGAAAAAAAGAGAAGCTTGAATAATGATTAGATGGAGACACTTTGACATTTAAGACATAAATATTAGTGTTCAAAAATCGAAGAAAAAAAAGAGAAAAAGTAAAAAACAAATATCGTGTTATAAGGACACTTTAACGTTTCTTCACTTGACCAAAGCTCTCTAAAGATAAAGACAAAAGAGTAAAGAGAGAAGAAGCAAAGAAAACCAAATCAATGGCGGTTTCCGTTTCAATCCTCACCGTCGTCACTGCTCTTCACCTCCTTGCTTTCGTCTTCGCCTTCGGTGCCGAGCGTCGCCGTAGCACCGTAACCATTCTCTCTCTCTTACTAATTTTGTCTTTTTTTTTCCGATTTGTGTTTTGATTCGTGTTTTTTTTTTTTCAGGCTGTGCCGGTGCCGGACCAGTACGATGAGAAGACCTTTTGTAAGTACGGAACTGAAGCATCGACGGTATACGGTATGTCGGCGTTTGGGTTACTTCTTGTTAGCCAGGCGTTGGTTAACGGTGTTACTAAGTGTCTCTGCTTTGGAAAGGGTCTTGTTACTGGTACTTCTTACACTGTGTGGGCTATTGTCTTCTTCGTTGTTTCTTGGTAAAGTTTAATCCTTTACTCTTTAATTGAATCTTTTGTGCATCAAGATTTGAAATTGTTATTTAGCTACCAAGATTTGAAATTTCTGATTAGGGGTTTTGAAGTTTGATTGAGAGTGAGCTAAATTTCCTCTTTTGAGTAAAGAGAATTTGTGATTTCTCGATAGCTTTCCTGAGATATCGATAGTTGTAGGCTTGTCATTATCGCAATCGAATATTCTATATGTGTACATGCTCCAAGATAGAGGATTATTTGGTTGTGATTTAACCAAAATATGTGGATTCTTGCAATTTGTGATCTAACAACAATAATGACTAGTTAGTTCATCTATATGTTGGAGTAGTTTTGTTATTGTGTAAGTTGTACTTATTGTCAGAATCCTTTTGGGTGGAAACACTTCTTCAGGATAAGCTTTTTAGGAGCTGAGGCGTGTTTGTTGGCTGGATCAGCGAGGAACGCGTACCACACTAAAAGTGAAGGTATTTACAAAGGGAAAGAGATTTCGTGTGCCGTCTTACCCGTTGGGGTCTTTGCTGCTGGAGCTGCTTTCACTCTCATGTCTTTGATTGCAACCATTCTTTACTACTTGGCTCATTCTAAGGCTGACACTGGTGGATGGGAGAAGCATCAGAACGATGGCATTAACATTGGTATGACCACTCCTTCAGATGCTCCAAAGCAACAGAATACTGAGTTCAACAAGGTCTAAACCAATTTCTGTTTGGTCTTATGTTGGTACGCTTTTAAAAACAGGGTAAACTATATAAACTTTTATGTTGTTTGTTAATTGTTCATATTAACTTGTGTTCTCAGATGTAAGATGTGTTGTTGGCTTATGTATGTCTATCTATGAGAAATTTGGTTTGGCTCAATCATCATCATCCTTATTTCCGTCTCCGTGTCCTCACAGAAAGTCAATATCTAACGTGGTCTGGTCCGACTTGACCGTGGACCAACCCTTGTACAACATGCTTCATTGGATCTGGGCTTAAACAAAAAAAAATATGGGCTCATATTGGACTGGACCATTAAATAGGCCCAATGATTGCATTCTTAACATTCCTAGCCTCAACTTGGGGAATATACTTGCATGGGAAAGGCAGGGTTTACCAAGAGCTATGACCAAAATGTTGATAACTTTTTGGAATACATTTTTGATCATTAGCTCAAGTTATGAAAGATTCTCTACGAGATATAAAATATATTCATGTAATAATAAAATGGTGAGTTTTTGCAATATGCTAAAGCCATACCTTTCCCTTTTTCTCAACTCGCTTTCTTCTTTATGAATCCAAGAACAAAACCTTTCTTATCCTTAAGAGTTCGGAACTATATAATAAACCTTGAATCTTAGACCTTAGCTCACAAAAAAGGCTACAGTTGTTTCAAAACCCGAAACCAAACACAATTATGGCGGTTTTTGGATACGAAATGGATGAACATAGAGCTTCTTCATCGAGAAGACGAAGATCTTTGTACCACAATCTAGGAGGAGGACGCTGTAACATACATTTTTCTTACCCTTTTCACATTAATTTTGTTTTCTTTAAATCTTTCTTTTTCTAAAGGATTTTCTCTTGAAATACTTGTAGTTGCTGATATAATATTCTGGAAGAACAAGAAAGAATCAGGAACAATCTTGGCGGTATTCACATTGATATGGTTCTTGTTCGAAGTGGTTGAATATCCTTTCATTACTTTCATCTGCCAGATCCTCTTGCTATCCATTTTCATCTTCCTCATTTGGTCTTACATTGGCTCCTCACAACTAATCCAGAGGTAAAAAAACCTTCACACTACTTGATGCTTCTTTATATATGAATCAATCAACAAAGCTCTAAAGAAACTTCATTTTGGGCAGTAAACCTCCGAGTATTAATGATCTAAGGATTTCGGAATCGACTTGGAGATTCTTGTTCAACAAGATCAATTGGTTCATTATCAAATTGTATGATATCTCTAGTGGCAAAGACTTCAGACTCCTTTTTCTGGTATAAATCAATACACAATTTCATTTTAATTATTTCATACCAAGATTCTTTGGATTTTATAACCTGTCTCATTTCGTTTTAGGCCGTTGTTTCACTATGGATATTATCAGTGGTTGGAAACTATTTCAGCTCTCTAACTCTATTATACATTGGTGAGTCTTTATGAGGTTATCTAACACACTTACTGGTTAAGATTGTACTTTTTCCAAAACTTTTTCTTTTTGGTAAAAGCCTTTCTTTTTAAGTATGTCTTTAATTACAAACACTTTTTGGTGTTTTGGTTAAGTGTTTGTGGGTTTGGAGACAATACCGATGTTGTATGAGCAATACGAAGAAGAGCTGACTTATGCAGCAAGTAAAAGCGGGAGGGACATGAAAAAGCTCCTAAACAAATTCAACTCCAAAGTCATTAACAAGATCCCTAAAGCTCAAGCTAAAACTAGGAGGACTATGTAATGTAACTTTATGTATATCAATCTTCTGAATATCTGCACATATTGTTACATATTAAAACCTTATAATAAGTCTTTGTTCATGTAATCATGAATGTTCATCAGGAATTCAGGATTCAATGGGTATGGATCAATATATTTTCGTTGTTTATGGAAGGTGACTCAATGTGATTAGAGCACATCCATTGGGGATGTTCTCAAATTTGAGTATCTACCAAAAAAATAAAGAAAAAAAATATTAAATTGAATGAGTATCTCAAAATGTTAAATTAAGATACCCATCTAAAAGTATCTCAAAGTATCTCATTAGAAATACTTTTGGATGGATATCTCAACATTTTTTAGATACCCAAAATTTGAGAACCTCCCCAATGGAGGTGCTCTTAGAATAATCTTTTTTAAAAAATTGTTATTACTGGCCATCACTATTTAAGCATGAATGGTTTCTTCAAAGTCTAGGAAATATTTCTTGTGCAATGAAAATGTTAATACCAACTTTGGTATAATCTTCCTCAAACGTTAGCTGTTAATCGTGAAAGTTATCTTATAACTCACGTACAAAAATTTATAGTCTAAATTTTACAATTTTTGAGGTCCAACTTTATTAGGGATTCAACAGATATTCATTCGTTTCATTATTAGGCATCTGCTTTTCTGTATATAAAACGCAATACCTCTTTGGCTTCGTCAAGGTCACAAGGGATGTTGCTTCACATGTTGATGTCTTACTATAAAGACTCGTCAAGGCTCATCTATTTTCTTGTCTGTATTCATATTTTTTTTGCGTGAACCAAATTAAGTTAACATACACCTCTTGGCTCTTTGTTCGACTTTGTTTTTTTTTCTATTTATCTCTTATGCTTACCGTTCTATTTTACATCTTTGCATTATTCCATAATCGTTTACTATTTATTCGCTAGATACTTCAAATCGTTTTAGGTTACTAACTGGACCCTTCAAATCAATTTTTTGAATCTTCAAATAAAGGTCTCCGAAATATTTTCTTATATCCATACATCCAAAGTCCAAATAGTCATTTATGTATGTAATTATGTCATTTATAGTGCTACTTTCTAATTTTGTTCTACTTTATGACCACTTTTAAAACTCGCTATAAATTTATCTTTTGATAGCTAAAAATTTTGTAATTAATTTTTTTAAGACAATCAAGTGGTGAGATATGACGAATGGCCGAACACACAATTGGTAAACTAGCTTGTGACCCTAGAGTTAAACCAAAGGGCAGTATAAGAAAGAGTCGTCGCATCTTTTTTGGTGACTTCTGACTCGAAAACGCAAAACCACACAATTGAAAAATATGCCAATTACAACTCTCTTTATCAACTAGTCTCAACAAATGTCCCAGAGCGATGCACAAAAACTCTTTCGATGGTGAGAGGAGAACTCGCGGTGGTACGGGCGGCGGGTAATGGCGAAGTCTTACTCTACATTTGGGCAGCTGTTGTGGCTCTCTCCATCATAGCAACCTTGATTTTCTCATGTAGCGACGGAGCTTCAAAACCTCACACTAACGACGATGTCAATGGCTCTGCTTGCGCTGCTGGCTGCGGTGGTGGTTGTGGAGGTTAAAGGGGAGGCAGTTTTTGTTCACTTTAGTAACATTTGAAGATAAACCATATATATTGGCTTCTTGCTTTAATAAAAAGTTAAAGTGTAGTGTAGATAATGTGTAACCAATGAACGTATTATGCTTCTTGAATTTAACATGTTAGTGATCTAATTAGTTTTAGATAATTCAAGATAAAATGAATATTGTGTTTTTCTTTTTACCATTCCAAAATTTTAGTGACCAAGTCGTCCATGCGCAGAGCTTGCCTACAATGGAATCGAAACTAGTGTTGTAGTAATTTTTTGGACAAACGTACCATCACACGTAACTTAACATCTTTGTTATGTTTTATTTAACTTACAACAAAGAAAAAGGTTGAGCAAAACAGAACATAACAGAGGACCAACGCTCAACAAACAGAACATAGAAAACAAGTATTTTTACATATTGTGGCATCAAACTAAACTTTACACATGAAAGTAACTTGTCCTTTATGTATGTATATATATCTATGTACATATCTTAGTTTACAAATACATTCTATATAAACAGAAACGAGTCTAAAGCAGGATGGTCTTAAAGAGCCACATAGCTAAAGCTTGTTTTAAGGATGAGTTTGATTTGGCGGCGCTGTCTCATATACCTGTGATGAAGATTTGATGGCAGAAATCAAAATCTGTTGAATCAAATCAAAGTCAAATTGGATCAAACCTGATGATATTGCGGGATATAGGTCATGTTTTGCTGAGGCATCATTGGAACTCCTGGCGTATAATAGCCCCAAGGCGACATACATGGTGCTTGAGCTGCTGCATAAAATGGTGATGTGTAAACCGGAGTTGCTGTGTATGCCATATACATAACCTGGACCACATCCACATAAGAATTTTATTAATCCATACTCTAAATGGATATATGTAATCAACTAAATTAGATATAGCTTAATGCTTACATCTACTTGATATTTTAAACTTTTAATGTATTCAATGATGTGTTCAAGCTTCGATGCAAGGTCGGGCTGTAGATAAACACACAAGAAACTCGATATTCGAAATATGATATTGTATTTGACTCTAATATATATATATATGGAGTAACAATTAACCTTTGGGGAACGATTAGGCATCATCCCCTGCAAAATATCTACTTTATTGTTAATCTCCTTTCGTCTTTTCTGCAAAGTTTAGATAGAAAAATATAAATTAGCTTGGGAAGCACGTAAGAGAAGAAGGAAAAAATCATCTTCACCTTCTCCATCATCATACGATATTCCATGGAACGTTGCCGTTTAGCCATACGGTAACTTTCCTCGTCTTGCTCCTCGCCGTGTTTCTCATGATCACTGTTTTTGGTAACATCTTCCGGCTTTGAACTCGAGTGAGCACCGAATATCTCTTGCAATGGGTTTAATTCATTATGATTTTCTGAACAAAACGAAGAAATTATATTAGAAATCGAACATTGTTCTTCTTCATGAGTACCCTCTTTGTGGTTTTTTATCTCCATTGAGGATTTTGAGTTTGTGAGAAGTGGAGAGTTAAGGAGAAACTAGTGAAGCCAAAAGCTATATATATAGGGGACTAAGGGGAGATACAAGAAGCTGCTTTTGAAAGTTGCAACAATTGAGCGGGAAGAACAATGATGATTTTGCTTCGTTCCATGGTTTTCTCTTAACAATTTATTTACTCATTTTCCATTATATTATTATATTTCTGTGTTCCATATTTACGCACATCCATTAGACAGAAGAAAACATTGATTTTTGTTGTTTACTTCCATTTGCTTTCTCGTTCTTTCTTGAAAGTCTAAGAACAGCAGGGAAACAAATAGTGTCATTCTTGTCATGAACGGCAGTCCTTAGTCTTTAGTATTTTTCTTTTTCTCAAGGTAGCTATGGTTACAATAAATTGCATTAAAATTGAAAATAATTTATTATTTAGTTGGTAAAGAGAACAGTAAAACTCTTATTTCAAGTTAGAACAAAAATTACATATTTCCACATATATATTTAACATTTATTTATTTTGATTGACAACAAGATAAACTTTCCATTATATCAACAACATGCATGGACAAGACATGCAAGGGCAAGAAAATGTTTCTAGTCAGAATTTTTTTTGGACCGGCTTAACACTGAGGAATCTAGCTTCTGATGTCATATTTAGAACGTATGTTAGTATATATTTGTCGAGTTACGTGCCACTTCAATAGTTATACATATTTTAAACCATGCACCAAAATCGTTTCATATTAACATGTGCTGATCATAGATCATTCTCGAAAAGCTTCGCCATTATTACCCAAAATCATTAAACCTTCGTCTGATTACTTCACTACAAGAAATATTTACATTATTAGCAAGAGATCAAAGATATTATATGTCATTAATAGTGTTTTCATAAACATTGTCTTATGCCCCTGTTATGGTAGACCCCCTACATACGATAGCGTGTTTTCCGTATGTTATTATAGAGCATTCTACCATAGCATTAGACAAACGCTTTGATATAATGACTTTTTATTTTTTATTATTATGTATTAAATCATTTTTCGTGCTATTATAGATATTTTCTACCATAGTGTTATTAAAATGCTTTAATTATTTTATAGCACCTTTTTATACGTTTAATACGTCATATGCAATTAAAATGAAGCTTCATTGCGACGGGACGTTCCTTTAAGGGATGCAGCGCAAGCTTTTGCTAGCTTTATGGTCTTTGGAATAACTATCTTTTCTGTACAGGTAATATTTTAATTTGGGTTTTTTGTACGTATCTCTTTTTTTTTCTTAAACTGCATATATACTCAGTACTCTCCTTTCTTCTTAGTAAAAAAATAAAATAATAATAATAATTCAAGGATTAATTTTAATATCGCTTATATATTATTTGGATAGAGAGATGATTTCATGAAAAAAAAAAAATCTGATTCTCGCACTTAAAATTTTAATAATAAAATGTTATAGTTACATGTGACCATAATGTTTGCCATAAATTATAAATTATTATTTCGTTACAAAATTTATTTATACCTCAATATTAAATGAAAGTTTAATACTTGAATTAATTAGTTTATTTTATCAAAAACAAATTCATTAATCGATTTTTTATGCGTACCAAAAAATTGCGGATCAAACATCTAATCAAAAATATATGCAGAGTTATTTTATTTTATTAAACTTTCTTACAAATTATAAACATCAACAAGATAATAATATATCACTTATGTTTATCATTCTAATAATTACAAAATTTTCCTTTATCATTCTTATTGTATTTTATTTTAGATATAAATATATTATTTTAACACATTAATTTTTCATTTGTGTTCGGAACAACTAACCCTTAGGGGGTTTAGAATCTATAGATTTCTTCTTGGTGATTAATGTGATTGAAGTGAATTTTAATATGATGTTACACAATTGAACTGGAAACGATAACGTTGCATTATTCAAACAACCAACATTTACAAGTTTACGATAACAATATACTATACGTTACAACATGGCTACATGAGTACACTGCGATAACGAACGACAAAAGAGCAAAGCCACACACAGTACTAGTTTCAAAAACAACTCCTTAATATTAACAACAAACCACATTATTAAAGAACTCGATAGAACCGGTCTTTAATACTAAAACATGAACCTGTCTTATGTACATAAGCTTCTTATAGTTACATCGGCTTTGTCGTCTGTGGTTGATTATTGTTGTTGAATCCCTGTAAATTCTTCATTTTTAAGAAAGAAAAATAAAATAAAGCAACAATATAATCAACAATCACAAAAATATAAACACATGAATAAGAAAACAAATTAAAACCTGATAAGTGGTATAGGGTACAATTGGGTTGGCGTAGCCGCTAGTTTCTCCTGGTGCCGGAAAGCGATTGTAATACATCATGTAATGTGGAGAGACATAATTATAAGGATACACCCATGGTGCCGGAATATCCGTCACCATGCCCATTGGCATCATTGGACCATACATGTTTCTCCAATAATTCTGCATTGTGAAATATTGAGTTTAGTCATGATAAATGGTTTTCTTTAATTGTTGCTCTTGTCTAATCAGCATGTGAAAAAATGACATTCACTTAATTATCATATAACATATGATAAATTGAATTAAACAAAGCCAATGAAAAAGAAAAATTTGAAACCAAAAACAACATTTAATTTTCTTTATCAAAAAAATAATATTGTTGGTTAAAAATGTTAAAGAAATAAATTTTTTGAATTCAATACAAACCAAAATATAATTAATTAACTAAATTTGTTTTTTTTCATTAATATTCTTTCTTTCACCGGAGAAACCTATATGAAACCCTAAATATACATGCATGTCTTGAGATAACAACAATGTGACGATTCAGATTACTTACTTCTATCCAAAGCTGCGTCTCCCGTATTTTATCGATGATATACTGAAGGCTCGAGTCTAAGTTTCTCTACAGGTTCATGCGGATAATAAATTAAAAACAAAGCAAAAAGTTGTATAAGATCAGACCCAAATTTGTTTTTCATTAGCGTTCGTTTTTACGTTTTACATGTACAAGTTAAATCGTTGTATTAAAAACAAAACGTACGATATTTTGAATTAAAGACATATATGTTATAAGTTTCAAACACAAACGGGAGAAGAAATTTCTTCTTATACCTATGTATATGAACAAAATATTTTAATTAGGTAAATACATGCATGTATTAAGTTGTATTTATAACGATTAGATGAAAAACATAGAGGCAAAAAAAAGTTGGTATATATGAACCTTTCCATCACAACGTGTCAACTCCTTCAACGTCTCAATTTTGCTATTAATATCTTGACGTCTCCTCTGCATGTTGAAAATCAATTTAACAAAACATTGAACAACGTGGTCAATTTCATTGAGAGACACGCATTAAACAAATAAACGTGTCCTCACCTTCTCATTGATAATGCGAGCTTCATTACCACGTCCACGTGGTCTCTTACCAAGACTCTTGCTTTCTTCTTTAGCAGCCTCTTCCTTCTCCTTACCCTATATAAGAACGAACAAAGTTCGTATTAAGACATCACCTCATACATACATATATCTTTTTCTTCTTTTTTTTTTTTTTTTTTTTTTTTCTTTTTTTTTTTTTGTGGACCAATTAATATACATATTATATTTAAGAAAACCAACTACATAATTACCTTCTCTATCGCTTTTTGTGTATATTTCTCTTGATCCTCAATAAGGTTCTTATATCCAACTTCGGCTGGAGCATTCTCCGGTCGACACTCGTTACCGCCATATTCAAGAACCTTCCATGGCTCAGCTGGCACATCAATGGCCATCGGTCGGGCCTCATGTCCTCCATATTCAAGAACTTTCCATGGCTCAGCTGGCACATCAATTGCCATCGGTCGAACCTCCTGGCCTCCATATTCAAGAACCTTCCACGGCTCAGCCGGTTCATCAATGGTCATCAGTGTAGACATGGTCATTATCGGGCTTCTTACCACCGGATATAGACCATCTTTAGGTTCTGAGTCAGCAAAGGATTGGAAAAGTGAGGACCAAAACTCTACGGTATCTCGATCGGTGTCCATATTCATGATAGCTTACTAGCAAAGTGTGATGAAGAGTTTGTACCAGTAGGAAGAGGTATTTATAGGAGAGGAAACAAGAGCGGGAAAGAGGGTGCTCGACTCAAACTTCTGTCGGAACTTGGATCATATTACTATAGGATTTCTATTTTGTCGTTTGAATATATATTATATATCCATCTTGTTTTTATGTTAATTTCCTTATCCATCAGTTTGTGTTTTCGTTATTTATCCAGTTTTCCCACTGTTGTTAACTTTAATAAATTGGGAACTTGATCAATGAAATCCGATCCAAAATTACTTCTCACCAAGCTTTCAGAACGATGAGAAAAGTTGTATTTATAAACGATAGTTTATGTGAAATAATGTAGTTAAACCAATATATTGACGAGATAAAAGATTTTATAAAGCTCTTCAAATGAATGTTTTGAAAAACATAAATTAAGTCAACTGATTTCATGAAAATAAAGAACGCAAAAACAAGATGGATGTTAATTGCATATAGCTTTTTCAGAGCGAAAACCGGAAATTTAATATAAGGAATTGGAAACTTGATTAGTAAAATCCAATCTAAAACTATTTCACCCAACAAAATATTTGTAAGGAATCTCACAAATACACTCGAAAGTTCATACAAAAGAAAATACATACTGATTTAAAATTTAAAATTGGTTCACTGAGAAATTCATATATAATTTTAACAAAAAAAAAAAGAAATTCATATATAAATATTACACTCTAGTTTTAATTTAACGACACTAAATTTTATGTATAAGATATGGATGTTCTAAAAGTAATAAAAATTCTAAAATAAAAATGTACTTCACAAAAAAAAATTATTAAAAGAGAGATATTTTGGATAGAGAACCAAATTTTCTATTAAAGTTACGCAATCCAAGATATGTGAAAACTCTTATCAGTTGATTTGATTCAAGATATGTGGAGATTTGTTTTTTTTTTTTAATTTCAATTAAACTCTTACACTGAAATCTTAAATATTCATTTTCAGAGAATATATGCATTGATTGGTAACCACTTTACGAAGCGGTACAAAGCGTTACAAAGTATACAGTTTTGACAGTTACCAATTACAAAAGCGGTATCAAAAGCGTTACAAAAAGTTTGACTCTCAGCTTTTTTGTACAGCTTTTTCGTACAGCTATTTCTTATAGCTTTGCACTATTCCGAAAAAGCTAACAGCTCCAGCTAACAGCTAACAGCTTTTGGTTACCAATCAGACCCATAATTGCTTACTAGATTTCTAATTTTATTCCTAGCAATTACTAATTATAAGAATTAATGCTGACACAAAAAGAAAAAGAAGAATTAATACAATATATAACACGCTGCTATTTGCTATTTCGATGGAAAAAAAGATTTTCATAGTTCTTCCGAACTGGAAATAAGAGTATAACAAAAATATTATGCTAGATCATGCATTATTTCTCTTACTGAATGCAGATATACTCATATACCACTAAACTATAATTTTAATTAACGACAACAATTTTTATATATCAAATATTTGTGGATTTCCATAAAGTAACTAATGGTAAGATACAAATCAAACAATATGAGTTTTCAAGATATATAAAATAGAAATTCATACTTACAGATGTAACTATTAAATCTAATATTAATTTAACGCAAATACCTTGTATATATCAAATATTGATAGATTTTCTAAAGGTAATTTAATTCTAAAATACAAAGTAAACAAAGCATACGTGTTTTCAAGTGAAAATAAATTTAAATACTACAAAATAATTAAAAATAAGAAGATATTTTGGCAAATAAAAACAAATGTAAAAAATGACGTAATCCAATATATGTGGAGAATCTTATAGTTGATTTGATCCAGGATATGTGGAGATTTTTTTTTTTTTGTCTTTATTTTAGTTGAACTTTTAGAGTGAAAATGCTAAATTATCATTTTAAAATATTAATAGAATTTCTTCCTGTATTCCTTATTTTATTAGTAAAATTACTAATTAACGCTAAGAACTAATAAAATATTAAACAGGCTGCTATTTGGTATTTTCATGAAAATAAGATTTGCATACTTCTTCAGAACTGGAACTAAAATATAATAAAAGTAGTATTTTACTGAAACATTATTCTTTCCTGATTAATATAACACTTTTATAGTTTATTTTTATAATCTTACGAATCTTGTTCACAATAAAATTTTGTATTTATAAATTAAACGATAGTTTATCTGAAAAAAATGTAATTATAAACCATTGTATATATTGATGAGATCAAAGATTGTATAAAACTTCAATTGAAAAGTACACTGATTTCTTGAAAACAAAGAATACAAAATTATGTTTATGCTTTTATTTGATGTATGAGCTCGATGTACGTAAGCCATTACTTCTGCTCATAACAACTTATTAATAGTAGGAATTGGAATCTTGATGAGTAAAATCAAATCTAAAATCATTTGACCAAACAAATAAAATTCAAAATTGCTTCACTGAGAAATTCATATATTTCATAGTAATTCGTACTTTCAGATATAAATCTTTTTTTTTTTTTTTTTTTTTTCAGATATAAATCTTAAAACTATAACTTTCTATATTATAGACAGATGAATCTTGTAAAAGTAAAAAGCAAAATTCTAAAATAAGATGTACATTACAAAAAAAATTATTTAAAAAAAGAGAGATATTTTGGATAGAGAAAGAATTTTTTTAATTTTTTTTTTATGCAATCTAATATGTACGGAGAGTCTTATCAGTTGATTTGATCCAAGATATGTGGAGATTTTTCTTTTCTTTTATTTCAATAGGACTTCTACACTTAAATTTTAAATTATCATTTTCAGATATTTATAAAATTGCTTACAAAATTTCTTATTTTATTCGTAATAATTACTCACTCTACAAATTACTGGTGCCAAAAAAGAAAAAAATAATTAAAATAATTTTTATCAGGCTGCTATTGATATATCCATGGAAACAAGATTTTCGTAGTTCTTGAGAACGGGAATTATTAGAGTATAACAAAAATATGATGTTAGAATCTTAGATCGTGCATTATTTTTGTTTTAGTGAAAATCTTAAGACTATCATTTCCGTAAATACTAAAAAAATATTTTAGATACTTGATCTATATATTTTTGGATAACCAAAATATCTGATCTTTAGGCGACATATGTCAAACATAAGCTGATATAATATTTATGGTTACTCTTTTTTTTTTTCTATTTCAAAGTTTAATCTCTATATATATGAGAATTTTATATTACTATTTTTAGTTTTTGTTTCTTATGATTAAATTCTTTAATTTTGGGTTTTAAAAGAAAATTCTATAGTATTGATTGTAGTTTAAAGTTTCTTACAAATAGATAGAATTTTAACTCAACACAACTGAAAATAAGAAATATGTGTTTTTAATTTTAACTGAAACTAATCTTGCCAATAAAGTAAGATTTTATAGAACAAATATAAATATAAACAAAATGAGAGATATTTCAGGAGCTAAAGTAGTAGTTTAGTAGAAATTGTTTAAATTATTGGGAAAAAACAAATATAAAGTTATGTAATCTAATATGTACGGAGAGTCTTATCATTTGATTTGGTCCAGATATATGAAAATTGAGTTTTTTGTCTTTACTTAATATAACTTTTTATGGTGAAGTTAAAAAATATAAAAAATCTTTTTGTAATATTTAAAACTTGCAGAAATATTAAATTCAAAACACAGTTGTTGAAATTACTACTGCTAAGAAATAAGAAATAACAAAAATATTAAATATGCTGATATTTCGGCGTATCCGACGAGTTCTTGATCATCCATTTTTCTTCAAATCATGGCTTATTTTCTTTTAACTAAATCATTATTGTTTCATGATCAAATGTTTTTCCATACATATTGGTTTTCGTATTTCTTCTTCATGGTTAAGAAAAATGTCTCGAAACGATTGTTGAGGGTCCCTGGGAATGGAGGGCTAATATAAGGAAGATAAAAAGAACATAACAATACATTTTGAAGGTCATACTTTAATCCAAAATAAGGATTCTAATACTATTAACTGTGATCGTTTTTCTTCAAGGTTATACTTTTACACTAAAAGTGTAATATCATTTCATAAGCACTATTAAAAATAAAAATACCTGACGACTGACGTTATTTAAATTGAAAAAAATAATATAAAAATGTAAAAAGTCTAGAATCAAACAAGTAGATGCATATTCAAGTGACAACAAGTATTTACACAAACAGATTATAGATATAAAGATATATTTTTAAATAATGTGTGGTTGACAAAAAAAAAAGATATAAATATATATTTTAGCTAATAAAGTAATAAATATTTACTAAAAAAAATTTGTAAAAGATTACGTAATCCAATATATACCGAGAGTCGTATCAGTTGATTTGATCCAAGATATAAGGAGATTTGTTGTTTTTGTCTTTATTTCAATTAAACTTTGGAAGAAAAAAAATAAAATTATCATTTAAAATACTAATAAAAAAGTCTTATGTATTTACCAATGCTAAGAACTGATAAATAATACAGGGTATTTGTTTTTTTCCGTATAAAACAAGATTTATAATAAAAATAGTATTTTAAACCATCTATGATTTTTCTTTATTGAAAAATGTATTGTTTCGTGAATTAAGTCTTGTAAAATTTTCCTTTTCAAATTACTGTAACACTTTGATAATTTATATTTAATGAAAAAATATGTTACTAACCCAAACTTAGGAATCCAAATTCACATGTAGAGGGCCGGGGAGCAATATGATATGGATGTTTCGACATTAAAATATTTCAAAACAAAAGAAATTTTGACGAGTCATTTTATAATTATATAAGAAGTTTTTTTAGATGATAGGAGATAATCTAGTAAATCTGACAAACAATACACTTTGAAAAAAGCTTTGAATAAAGAGATAATATAGTAAATCTGATATTTTCTCTTGAACGGTTTACACTTTTACTCTAATTAAAATGTTAAGAACAGTGTTTTCATTTCAGAACAAAACAAAATAGCTAAGATAATTTCTTTTACTAGATTTCCTTTTCTTTTTCTTTTTTCTTTAACTAGAAAACTAAATATAAATTTATGGTCAATTTTTTTTTATTTTTCTAATTCAAAATATATTCTCTCTATGCGGGTTTCATATTATCCGGATCGGATCAACTTTTTCATGTATTTAAATTTAAAATTCTTATGATTTTAGCTACTTCAATATTATTAATGATGGTAGTTTAAGAGCCTCTCACAAATACATACTTTATTATTGAATAGTTTAAAATTACTTCACTGAAAAAAAAAGAATACTTCACTTAGGAATCAAAACGACAGAATATGAATTTTGGGCAACTGAAACAATAGATGTACGAAATGTTCATGTGTATATTCATGGGAACATATGTTTTCAGTAAAAAAATTGTAAACTAATTACCAAATGCAATGATTAAAAAAGAAAAAAGTGGAGAGATAATTTTAGCAACTAAAGCAGTAGATATTGTTTAAATATATATTTTTAAAAAACTTGTATTCAAAAAAGTT